CGAAAGAATATACAACTTTATTAACATTGAAAGGACTTTGAGAAAGATGATAGCTTTCGAGTTGATGATATCATATAACAGAAATGTGTTATTACCTCAGGATCAGTTGAGTTGATGATATCGAAAATTGGATGACCAATTGGAACAATATCAGGGAAAAACATCCAAGGGTGCTTCTGTCTAATGGTTATCATCAATTCTATAGGAATCTCCATTATCACCTGCCGTGAGAGAAACAGTTCAAACTAAAGCCTCTAAAGAGCAGAATAAAAACCAAAAAAGTTGTGAACTTTGAAAATAAGAAGACTGACTCTAGCTCGACGGCGAGGTTCGATATCCTTAGAGGCATAGACACCAAAGCCATCTGGACCTTCTTTAAACTCAATCCCATAAGCTCTCACACTCCGAACATATCCGATTTTGTAGAAATCCGGATCTGCTGGCTCCAGCTAGTGACGAAGCAAAAGACAAAAGCCCTAAATCAATCTCATAGATGACGGAAATGCATAAAATTGTCTAAAGTTACTGCATTTAGAACTCATTTAAACCCTAAAAGACTCAAAATTCAAAATCCTAACCTCGGACGAGGGAGATTCTTCGGAAGCAGGAGACTGAAACAGAGGGAAAGGTTGTGTCTGAAGAGAAGCAACTTTGATGGGTCGGACACCATTTTGTCTCTCTCTTACGAAATTGCTTCTGGGTCTTGGTGCTGACACAATTCCGTTGCAGAAACCCTTTGTACCGGAACAAAAATTGAGTAGTCAGAAAATTCAGACAAAGACGTAACACAAGTTACATAGAAACATTAGGTAATATACAGAGATAAGATTAAGAACCTGAGGTTTGGAGATGAACGCGTTGGTCAGGTACTGAAGAGAGACTGAAGAAGCCATTCCTCAACTGAACAAAATGGGTTTAGAAGAGGGAGACGAAGATCGTTATCCTTAGTTTTCAAGTTTTAGTCAAAATTAAAGTATATATTGCATATGTAAGAAAAACTAACAAAGTTGCTTTCATAGCTCAGTTGGTTAGAGCACCCGTTTAGTAAGCGGGAGGTCTTGAGTTCAACTCTCAATGAAAGCATACTAGTACTTTTATTTTACCATCCATTGAGCAAGGGTCTTAATTGAGTTAAGAGTTATCTTGGAGATGGTCCTATACAATGTAGATTTATTTTTTGCCATAAAATAAACATCACTCTTTTTATTGTAATCCATTATCCATATGTACATTACATGATCTCAAACATTTCTTTGTGTAGAAACTATGGTTCTGTTCCTGAAATCTACAAAGAAAGTGTGACTTTGTGTTACTTTGGTCATATAATTATTAAGGTGTAGAGTTGTGTGTGAGAGGCTCAGCTTCTGATGGGACTTCACGAGCTCTTTGGCTCTCAAGTGGCATGTACTGTGACATGATCGTCATAATCTCTGAGTCCATGTAAGACTGTGTGGGAAAAACCGAAGAAAAGTTAAGTATGAAAATCCTAAAACCGTTAAGTTCAAAAATGCTTTTATGGAATCGGAAAGAATAGTACCCTGAACCGGTATTTGTAGAAAATATAACCAGCCAAACCAGCTACTGCGACGATAGCTAGGATCAAGAATATGAGCCACCATGCTGTTTTGGATCCATATCTCTCTGTGAATTATGGTTTTAAAGCAAACAATCATCAATGCATATTAGATACTGTTATGTTGTTATGGAATTTGACTCTTAAATCTTGATTGATGATATTTACCTATACAAGTATCTTGATCGTTTATGTAAAGCCGGTCACCAGAGCAACTGCATTTATATCCACCCCATGAGTTCTTGCATCTGCAACCGCTGCATTGGCACACCGAACTCTCTTTACATTCGTTAATATCTGCAATAGAGCCAAATCAGAACACATAATCACATAACTGGTAAATGATTTTGTAGTTTCTTTCTAGATTAAAATCAGCAAGTTAAGAGTTATGGACCTTCACACGTGAAACCGTCGCCTTTGAAACCTTCAGGACATTTGCAGCCAGTAGTGACAGAGTCCTAATTGTTCATAAATAACAAATAGATGATTGAACTGAAACAAGATTTTTGAAATGGAGAGATTGGATTATAACAAGAGAATCACTAAACTGAGCAAGCCGAGAAAGTCAAGCCATTTCTTGTGTCAGACCAGCAACCTCCATTGTTAATAGTACACCTAGCAGGACCATAAGCTGCAAAGAGCAATTACAGATCAGATATTCAAAGAAAAAGCAAGAAACTGGTCTCAACATTTGAGGGCAATGTTGTGTGAAGTGTGAATAGCTTACGTTTACATGAAGTGTACCCGTCGCCTTTATATTGAACACCTTTGACAACCGGGCACTCGCAGAGTCGTCCTCTGAACGTGTCCTGAAAATAAAAAATAGATTCATGTAATTATAGGACTATAAAATATAACTCTAGACTGAACATTTTCCCTAGTTTTCAAAACATTTCCAAACAAACTGATACTGATATTCATAATAGTGGTGAGATGTGATGTGATATGCTCGGATTTGCGACATACTTTACAAGCAGTTATGTTTGCTTTTGTGTCCTCCCAGCAACCACCATTGTTTTCAAGGCACTCATTTGTCTCTAGACCTGTGTTTAAGCAAATGCGAGGATCCGATGTTTCGTTGAATCCAGCACATATCGCCTTTAGAACAGCAGTTCTTTCCAATCTCCCTTCACAATTACAAATAGTAACAACATAACAATTCAGCATTATCAAAAGGAGAGGGTGAAAATTGAAAAATATGATGATCCAAACCTCGATATTGGGCGTTATTGATGACTAATGTTGGCAATATCGTAACATCTCCCCGCTTTCCTCGGCCAATCTTGTAATAATTACATACTTTACAGTTAAAAACCAAACCTCTGAAAAGCTTCTTGCAATTTTATAAAAATAAAGGTTTAGACTGACCTGTGCTAATTGCTCAGTTCTCAGAACTTGGTTCTCTGCATCGGCCTCAGGATCACCAATGCATTTCTTGATCTTCTCAACGGGCAACACTGCATCAAGTCTTGAGAATTCATAATCTGAACAAAGAAGACTCTCTTTTTCTTTAAAATCTAATAGGAAAACAGATTCTTACTGAGAGATTTGATGACACTCTCAGCACACTCTATGCTATATTTCTTCTCCTTCATCGAACACCGAGAATGGAAATCAGTAACATAATCCCACCAAACCCAAGGCCGGCTAGTCTCATTTGCAACTCTATGCACACAAAGCTGTCTCAAATTCTCAAGGACAACATCTTTCCCTTCATAACCTTCTCTGAAATTGTTCTCAGGGTCAGGAGCACAATACCTCCCATGGTTTATACACTGAGACTTACAATGTGGACTGTTTATAAACTGAAAAGGGCAAAACCAAGTGATATAATGAGGCGTAAACGAGGTATAACCGCCTTTCTCGAGTATCTGAGCATGACCCTTAAAGTTCTTGACAAAATCCATCTGTTCATCGCACCGTGCACCACACTCGTCGTTGCTATTAGTCCACAGCTCATATTCTACTCTCTGATCAGGATGAGGCACAGATTCTCTCCAATCTAGTTTCAAAACTATGTTTTTCCCTTTCTGAAACCCTTGTCTTAAGCTATCTCCAAACGATTTATCGATTAAAACCGATGGGATTGTTAGCTTCTCAATAAACCCATCCGCGTCATTGCTCTCCTCTGGTGAATCCATTGTCAACAATGGCTCGTCTACATTATCCGCCACAAGAACTGCCGCAGCGCCTGCTTGCTGCGCATGCCACGCTTTCAAGGCAAAGTAGCAACCTGAAACACCCAGTAATGGAGCAAAACATTAACACTTATACTATTGAAACAAAACATTAACACAGATTCGAGTTGAAAGTTTAAATCTTTCAACTCAAATGCAAATTTGCAGCATAACCCATCAGTCCTATTGACTATTACAGTTAACATGGTGGATTGCTAGGGACACAAGTGATTAAAGTTTAAATCTTTGAACTCTAAAGCTAAATTTGCAATACAACTCATAATTCAGAGCAAACCGTATTATAAGTTCATATCTATCAATCAAAATCATAGAGCAAAGACATGTTTCAACGATTTGCAAAACAACATTAAATGGAAAAGAAAAAAAAAAACAGAGATGTTTGAAACTTTTGTACCTCCACGATCGAGAAGAAGAATAGTGGGACGAGGAAACTTGGGCTTGAAGGTTTTACCAAAAGCAGAGCAGCCATCGGTTTTACTATCCGGATAAACAACCGCCCCGATTAAAAACCCGCCGTAATCTGGCAACCCGAAGTTGGCAATCGAGCCGTCACGCTTCGACCTCATCTCCTCCGGATTCAGCACGCTTATGCTTTCTTTCTCCACCACAAACCTCGCGTCCACGACGACCACCATCCAAATTATGGTCAACGCACCGAGGAGATAGGTCAACGAAGCTCTCCCGTTGACTAAACCCATCTCTGTAAACAAAACCTCGATGGTTTTGGCTTGGTTGATGATCAACCTACCTGGTATTGATTTCCCGGGAAAATGAATGAGAGATTCAGAAGAAGAAAATATCAAAAACAGAGGAAACTGAGAAAGTTTCTGATCGTAGATGATGATGATAACATACTAGTTTATATAAACAACGAAACCAAATAATACTTAAGAAAAATCAAACGAAAGAATTGGAAGATGTTAGACTTTTGTTAGTTAGTTTATGTTTTTTTTTCTATACTGGTTGGTAATATAGTAAGAGACTTGATCAATGCCTCGACTTTGAAAAATATTAGTATAACATTTGAGTGTGACATACAATATATTATAATAATAATTATTTTATAATTATTCAGATAAATTCTTTCTAATTACTTAATTATTATTTAACAAAAAAACAAATTATAACCTATTCATCCATAGGGCTTCTTTCGTTATCTCCTATCTGAAGAAGACCTGCCTTTCCTATTCCTCTAAGAACTTGGTCTTTTGTAGTTTTGTAACCCTTCTCGTATTCATCTTCTATAAATCTAATCAAAACCCCCTTGATAAAAAAATTATCTCTGCACAATCTTCAGCTACTAATTGTAATTTGGTTTTAGGGTTTATTTGGCTGTATTTGATACGTGAAGAACGATGTTCCGAGATGAAGTGTCATTGGCTCTTGGTGTCATCAGTGTTATCAGTTGGAGTGTTGCCGAGATACCGCAGATCATGACTAATTACAATCAGAAATCCATTGAAGGTGTCTCTATAGCCTTCTTAACGACATGGATGCTCGGTGATATATTCAACGTTGTTGGCTGTTTGTTGGAACCAGCTAGTCTTCCGGTGCAGTTCTACACGGCAGTGTTGAATACATTGGCCACACTTGTTCTCTATGTTCAGTCTATATATTACGGCCATGTCTACCCGCGGTTGAAAAACAGAAAGAATCATGATCAGGTGGTTGATGTGGAAGAGCCTTTGCTTCATGAGGAAGCTAAGCGTCCTTCTACCAAATCTATGCTATGTGTTGTCTCGGTGTTCTTGTTTCTTGGTTCTTTCAATATGCTAAGTGGTTCAAGAAGTATGGATTTGAGAGAGAAAGATAGAGTGTATGTAGTTGGAGGAGGAAGAAAGCTTTTGGGTGTCAGTAGCGGTAACTTGGGAGGAGGAAGAAAGCTTTTGGGTGTCAGTAGCGGTAACTTGGGAGGAGAAAGCTGGAATATAGGAATGTTGTTGGGTTGGGCGATGGCAGCTATTTACATGGGTGGAAGGCTTCCTCAGATATGGTTGACTATAAAGACAGGACATGTTGGAGGATTGAATCCATTGATGTTCTTCTTTGCGTTTCTTGGCAATGTGACTTATGTTGCGAGCATACTTGTGAACAGTGTCGAATGGTCGAAGATAGAACCGAATCTACCATGGCTTGTTGATGCTGGAGGATGTGCTGTGCTTGATTTTCTTATTCTGCTTCAGTTTTTCTACTTCAGGTGTAAAGATTCCGACAAGAAGAAGCATGGAACCAGTGACCTTGTCTAAGTAACAAGGTCTCAAACAGTTTGATCTCATCTGGCCAGCAAGATTCATCTAGTTTAGGAGGCTTATTGGATATTGATTGAGTTCAAGTGTTGTTATGGCTATAATAATTTTGGAATTTAGAGAGTTTTATAAACTTAGTTTCTTTCTTCTAGTTCTAACTTTTTAACAGGATTGAGTGTATTTTTTTTTATAACTTTCTTCTACTTTGGATTTTAGATAACTGAAGTTGTTTATGGTACTTCTGAACAATATCTTTATCAATTGAACTGTGGCGTTTCACAAATATGCCTAAAAAGCTAAAAGTAAAAAACATTTGTCAAAAGTATAACAAGAAATGAGAGACTATAAGTCTATAATACATTTTTCTAAAAGGTTGTGTCAATGTTTTAGAATTACACAAATTGGATTTGAGTCAATGAAAAAGAAAAAGGAAAAATAAGCCTAGAAAGTCAAATCTTCTATTAATTCTTTTAGGCCTAAAAGAATATCTAAATCCACAAATTCAAACCATCCATTGTACCTCTTGTTTTTTTCAATGCGATTTTGTCTTCATAGGTAAGGTGGAGAAGGTGAGTTCTGAAACTAAAGTTAGTTGCTCTGTCTTTCTTATACCATATGGGACGGAACTTGTCATCTTCCAAAATACGTGTTGGTTTATGTAACTTTAATGAGGCTTTAAGAACAAGTGGTATTCTTCTATGCATGGTGAATTTTATGTAACTTCTCTGTGGAGTCAAGTTTTGAGTCTTTGGTCCTTTGCTGCTGAAAAGTGTTGTTCTCCAAAAGATTCAGAGTTAGAAGAAGAGAAGGAATGGCTTCAATTATACGCGGAACACGCATTGTTCTCCAAATGGCAAGCTAAATGGGTGAGGAAAAAATAGACTTGGCCAAAAAACAAACAGTGGTTTTTGTCTAGGTGAATGATCTCTTTTTCAAACTCGGTTTTGGTACTGTGTTAAATATTACAGGATGGGATGGAGCCTGCAAAGCCATTTGAAATGAAGAAGATAGTTGTAAGTACCAAAGAAAATGTGGAGTCATGGAAGACAGTGAAGGCGGAGAATGCAATCTTCTACATAAATAGCTTCAAAACCCGATGCGGCAGAGACTGCAATTGTATCATAAGGAAAACAACAGATGGAGTGCCAGGCCATTTCTCATTTGAAGTCAAGTGTTTTATGTGAGAGACCCTGAAGTTATCATGTAAATGGGAAGTATGTTAGAAAAACCATTTGGTTACATAATATTCAATGTTATATTGGTACTGAGAAATGGATTAGTGACAGTACTGTGAAAGATAAGTAACACCCAAAAAATAAACCAAAAAAACTGAGAGAAGAAAAAAATGAATTTTATTGATAACTCATACTGCTGAAGAACAGAAGCAGAAACCAAATGTCATATATTTTGTTTACCAACAAAAACTCTTAAATTGATCAAAGATCGTAATACAGTCTCGTTCTCTCCACACTCTCTCTATCTTTCAAACCCGTAACTGAGAGAGGCGTAAGAGTTGAATAATCTCTCTTTGTTTCTCGCGAAAACAATTGAAATCTCCAAATAAGGGTTTAAGCCAAAACCCCTCGGAGTTTGATGCCCAAATGCCCATTCCCAATCCGTATCAGCTTCTTCAGCTACTTCCTCAACCAAAGTCGCATCCTTTCGAGTGACCCAGTTAAGTTCTCTATTCACCATCTTCGTTTCTCTTCTTCTGTTTCTGTTTCTCCGGACCCATCAATGGAAGTGGAGAATCCATCGGAAGCTCCAATCTCGGAGAATATGTTTAAATCGGCTCCCAAAATGGGTTCTTACAAGTTGGGTGATTCCACTTTATCTTCAATGATTGAGAATTACGCCAATTCGGGTGATTTTGCTTCCGTGGAGCAGGTTTTGAGCCGGGTTAGATTAGAGAACAGAGTAATTAGTGAGCATAGTTTCATTGTTGTCTTTAGAGCTTATGGGAAAGCTCATTTGCCTGGGAAAGCTGTAGACTTGTTTCATAGGATGGTCGATGAGTTTCAGTGTAAACGTAGTGTTAAGTCCTTTAACTCTGTGTTGAATGTGATTTTAAATGAGGGTCTTTATCACCGAGGATTGGAGTTTTATGATTATGTTGTAAATTCCAACATGAACATGAACATTGCTCCTAATGGGTTGAGTTTTAATCTGGTCATTAAGGCTCTTTGCAAGTTGGGGTTTGTGAACAAGGCAATTGAGGTCTTCAGGGAAATGCCTGAGAAGAAGTGTTTGCCTGATGGGTATACGTATTGTACATTGATGGATGGGCTGTGCAAGGAGGAAAGAATTGATGAAGCGGTTTTACTGTTGGATGAGATGCAGAGTGAGGGCTGTTCACCGAGCTCAGTTACATATAATGTGTTGATTGATGGATTGTGCAAGAAAGGGGATTTGACACGGGTGACAAAGCTTGTGGATAATATGTTTCTTAAGGGATGTGTTCCTAATGAGGTAACTTATAATACGCTTATTCACGGTCTATGTCTCAAGGGTAAATTGAATAAAGCTGTTAGTCTCTTAGAACGGATGGTGTCGAGCAAATGTATCCCAAATGATGTCACATATGGAACACTTATTAATGGGTTGGTTAAGCAAAGAAGAGCAACAGATGCAGTGAGGTTGTTGATCTCTATGGAAGAAAGAGGGTATTGTTTGAATCAGCATATTTATTCGGTCCTTATAAGTGGGTTGTTTAAAGAAGGAAAAGCTGAGGAGGCTATGACCTTGTGGAAGAAAATGGTGGAGAAAGGTTGCCGGCCCAATATTGTTGTGTACAGTGCTCTTGTAGATGGTTTATGTCGCGAAGGGAAACCAAATGAAGCGAAAGAAATTTTTCGTGGAATGATAAGTAATGGATGCTTGCCCAATGCGTATACTTATAGCTCGTTGATGAAAGGATTCTTCAGAACTGGTCTTAGTGAAGAAGCAATTCAAGTATGGAGAGAAATGGATGATACCGGATGCTCTCGAAATGAGTTTTGCTATAGTGTTTTAATCGATGGTCTTTGTGGGATTGGGAGGGTGAATGAGGCTATGATGCTGTGGTCAAAGATGCTCACTATCGGGATCAAACCTGATACAGTAGCTTATAGTTCAATGATTAAAGGTCTTTGTGGTATTGGGTCAATGGATGCGGCATTAAAACTTTATCATGAGATGCTATGCGAAGAAGAACCCAAGTCACAACCAGATATTGTTACTTATAATATACTTTTTGATGGTTTATGTATGCAGAAGGATGTCTCAAGAGCAGTTGATCTCTTGAACTTTATGTTAGATAGAGGTTGTGATCCCGATGTTATTACGTGTAACACGTTTTTGAAAACTTTGAGCGAGAAGTCAGATTCTTGTGAAGAAGGGAGGAATTTTCTAGAAGAGCTTGTTTTGAGGCTTTTGAAGCGTCAGAGAGTATCTGGCGCTTGTAAAATTGTGGAAGTAATGCTGGATAAGTATCTGACACCGAAGATCTCCACTTGGGTGTTGATTGTTCCAGAGATCTGTAAACCAAAGAAGATCAATGCCGCCATTGATAAATGCTGGAGGAACCTGTGTACTTAAGCATTACTGAGCATTTTTGTGTAGATATCGGTTCCACCTTAAAAGCCTCCATGCTTGGGAACTTTTTCGCTTCTGAAGTTATGGAAAACTTGAAATGCCTGAAAAAACAGGTAGATAGATAATCTATACTTGCAATTCTGACTTGTAAACATGTTATTTGAGCTAAAGTTTATAATAATATGAAAACCCCTTGTTTGTTGCCACTCTCGAGATCTTTGTTCTGTTTCATTGTTTGAATACTATTTCTTACTGCAGCTTTATCCAAAAGGAAAGATCTTCCAAGTCTTCTCCATGGTGCAAAACTTCGAGCAAAGAGAAGTCTGTGAAAATGATCAGCAATGCTCCACAAGAGAAGCTCAAAGATTCTTGTCTGTGATTCTTACGTACCCTGAAACTATTGACGGTAACAATACATTCCCTTCTAAGAATCTATAGGAAAATTTGGATATCTTTGGACCCTAACTAGGTCACTGTCAATGGCATATTAAATAAGTCCATTTCTTGTATACGCACAAAAGCTAAGTCTATAATTTTCATAACGCAGAGCATATGCAACATGAGTATAACGATATAATCCTTTAATTGACAATATAAATCTTGGATCCATTATAAAGTGATACATAGAATAACCCTTCGGATACAGATTCAAACTAAAAACAAATGATATATCAGTAGGTTCAACACTCACAAGATGCTATCAGCTCTTGATGGTAATCTCCTAAAAAAATTCTGAGGAATAGAAGGTATATCGAAAACCCTTGCCCTAGGATGTCTCATGACGTAGAAACCAAGAAATGTGAGCAGTAACTTCATGGAGACGAAACAAATCACTCCACAGCTAACAATACAGAAGGCTAAAAACAGAGACGTTGCTCTTGGATCTCTCCAACTCAACAAGCTTTTCACTCTTTCTCCTTGTGTAGCCAAATCTCCCAACACAATCATCATCCTCCCTGCGATACCACGCAACCTGTCATACCTTTTTTTCAGTACATCACCTGATTTTGCGCTAGGAAACGCATCAAACTCCTCGTCTAGCTCATCGGGTAAAGTTGAATCAGCTTTAGACAGCTTTATATCCATGTGAGGAGGATGTCTCGGTCTCAAACTGAACTTGTATAACCCAAATACGAAGCAGTACAGTAGCAAAGATACCATGCAGTACTTAGGGAGAAAAACAACGAACAAGAAAACGACATGGAGCAAGACCGTCGTTGCCGGGCTTTTCCATTTGCAAACCTCATCAAACCATTTCCAAGCATCGATCCAGCCATCGAAAAACGCGACAAGACGTTCGAAATTTGCTCTTCCTCTTCTTAGACTCCACATGTTTGATCCCACATCGAGCATATACTCTACAACATCTCTTCCAAGTGCTGGCTCATTGCGTCCTAACTTGATGCAGAGAATGTGAGTCGCTTGGTGTCTAAGGCTGTCTAATTGGTAAATAGACAATGGAAAGATGTAATGCATTTGGGGAAGCAACGGCTCTGTATATTTCTGAAGCATATCGATCATAGATGTCGTCGTGAACCTAACCGCGAGCTGAATCTCACCCATTTTCTTAACCCCATCTGGTTTTAAAACCATCAAAGGATAAGAATGTGTGTAGATCTTTGAGGTCACAAGGGTCGATAGACGTATCCTGATCTTCCCGATCCTCGAATCCTTGATCAAACGGTTTTCGTTACCCGCACCAAACAGATTGATCAGATTATCAAAAACACCAATTGTTATCACCGTGTAGGGATCATAGACTTCCCAAGTATACTGCTCGTTCCATTTCGGATCAAAAGTGTCTACAATCGTCCTCGTTCTCACCCATTTTGTTCCATATTTCGCAACGCAATATGCATCGGTTGTTCCCCGACCATCTCGTGACTTCATCGGCATTAAACCTGTAGCGTTTAACACGCCTAGCTCCAACACACCAATAGCTGGAGTCCATAGAAGCTTAGCAGAAGCTCTGTAATCGCTGCTATACTGAATCGACTCATCAAGAACGTGATAGCCTCCGTCTAAAGAAACCCGCAAGTGAATCCTCCCAGCAAATCTCCTCGCTTCCCCAGTCTCATCAATGTGCTCCACGTTGTACCACAATGCCGGCACTGGACCAGGTGACACTCTTCTCTCAACCTGTGATAACTTGATCTCGCACTTTCCTATACACTCCTCTTTCTGCCCTAGCTTATCTTCCACGCTGAGTATCAAACTGTCCTCAAATGGCTCAACCGCTACAAACATCATATCCTCATTCCATAAAGGATTCACACTCTTCGTCTGCGAAGTCCTACTCCTCACGACAATGTTGCCAAGAAACCCTTTAATCAGAATCTCTGGATTGGTCCGGTTCTGATGCAACAGGACCAAATCCTGAGCTTCGATTATGTTAACTCGCAAGTACCAAAGCCTCGGCGAAAGATAAACCTTTGATCGCGTATTCACCACGTTGTCTCCGGTAACAGTCGCCGAATCTGAATGCCAAGCCTCGGAGAAAACCTCATCAGCTTGTGTCCCAATCCAAACAGATAACATAATCTCTCCTCCGATCTTGACACCGTTTTTATCTTCCAACCTATACCATTGAGGAGCCAATGGACTATCAGGAGGAACACGTGTCGGAATCTCCGCCACATCGAACTTACATTTCCCGATAATCTCGTCATCGTTTGAGTTATCTTTGTCTCGTACGACCACTTCTAATATGTTCCCTTGAAGACGAGCTTTCGTGAAGGCGAAGATTTCGTGAAACTCTGGGTTAGGGTTCGGGTTAGGGTTTGAGTTTAAGCTCGGTTTTGTTCTCCCTTTGTAGCTTCCTATCTTGACTTCGACGAAAGAGTCATCGACAGGTAAGGCTCGAGCACGGACGATTCTTGCGTAGAGGAAATGCATCGCCTCCACGAGATCGAACGAAGACGTCAGCTTCTCGCCGCCGTTACCACCACCATTGCCGATTTTGGGACTTGTTTCTTTCAATGAGAAATCTCCGTTTCCGTTACCGTTTCTGTTTCCATTTCCGGTGCCGTTTCTGTTACCGTTTCCGTTTCCGGCCCCGGTCGCCGCCATTTCCTGTGAAGAAAATAATTAGAAAAGACAACCTTAAAGGAATCAAAATGTTCTGAAAAAAGATTCATACCTGAACAGAGTAATGACTTTTGTTCTTCTTCTTCTTGAAGAACTTTTGAAACTGCAGGTTTTTTTTTTTTTGGTTTGTTGGTCAACGTGATTTGCTGGGTTTAAGCAACAATAAAAAGTGCAAATGATACGAAATTATACACTCAATTTTTTTGTTTGAATGATTTTGAAATAATGAGACTTTACTGTAATTTATTTGACATTTATGGTTAAATCAAAGTTAATTGCATGTAATGTTAATATTCGTTAAGAGAATCCAGAAATTAAAGCTGATCAATTTGTTTTAGTAACCGTTGTTGATTAATTGGAGAGAAATCAGCAACCTATTTCAAAACATTTCGGTCACACGATGATTTGCGTCTCTCATGCATAAATGTTGTAAAAATATGATAAGACACAAAACATTTCAATTTAATTTTCATTAAAATTATTTGGGAAGATACCATCAAGAGGTACCAATAAAGATGAGCTAACAATGTTTCATACATTTTAAGAATCGGACTAATTCTATACAAATGCAGTTCCAAAGAGTACACAACGACAAATAACAAGTGACAACTGTACATTTCATGGAGTCTCTATGAGGCAAGACTCCACTCTGTTTCCTTTTTAAGAATGTTTTACATTTGAGACTCTAGAAACTCCAATATGGCCAAACCGGCTGCACCAACATCGTCATCCAACACATGTTCTGCCGGAGAATGACTTATTCCTCCACGACACCGGACAAACAGCATTCCCACCTGCCGGAAGAAAAACAAATTTCCCTTATAAGTTAGCGTATGAACCAAGAGAGTAGAGACATAAGCCTTTTATAATAAGATGTTTGAGTACTCAATTACCTTAGTTAAGTGAGACATAGCCATAGCATCATGTCCTGCTCCGCTCATTAGTACGGGGACCTCGTCTTGGACTTCTCCTGTCATCTTCTTGAGGGCACTCTGAGCTGCTGATTTCAGCTGTGAACTCAAATGAGGGTCTGACATCACTGCGTCTGCATCATGCTGCAATGATGATTAACCAGGGACAAAGTTGGTAAGAAGAAGACATCAGACTATAAGGTTTTAAGAATTGTATAACACTCTTTACCTTTCGTTCAATAGAGCACAAAAGCGATCTTTTGTCACATATCTGGTACATCCTAGTTGATAAGTCATGGAGAATAGCATTGCGTCCTACATCATCTATCGTACGTAAATCCACAGTGAAAGTTACCTGGATTCATTTCATTCATCTCCATGAAACCAATTAGAGTTCATTCACAAGACCAATACAGAAGAGATTTAGTTTCTTCTCTTACCTGGCCTGGGATGACATTGCTAGCACTTGGCCACGTTGAGATCTCTCCAACAGTACAAACAAGTGAATTAGCAAGTGATTCTATTGTGCCCTCATTGCATTGACCGTTGCAAGATAAGTAATCTTTAGGGTTTTTGCAAACACTTTCCAATAATACAATCAGCTCCGCGGCACCAGTCATAGGGTCATGACGCAGTGACATTGGAACTGTTCCAGCATGTCCTTGAGATCCTTTTAAAGTAACCTGTAGAATTCTGTCCATTTGGGTTTCAAGTAGCCTTCTCCAAAATTAGACAATGAAGTGGTATCAGTGAATATGTTACCTTAAGTCTTGTCTGTCCTGCAATTCCTTTTACTACTCCTAGAGGATGACCAACCCATTCAAGCACCGGCCCTTGCTCAATGTGAACCTACAGGAATTCATTCATATTCAACAATAACTATACCACTCTTGGCGACTCATTTTAACTTCATCAAAGATACAAAACAAAAACTTGCAAAATTAGTTTGTGAGACGAAAGAAGCTCAAGAATGTTTTACCTCTACATATCCCCAAACAGATGCAGGATCATACTTCAGCTGCATTAAGTTTTCCTCAGTTATGTCTATGGCATTTTCTTTAAGAGCATCTTGCAGAGAAATACCACTGAGCGAATGAATATGGAAAAAGTGAGTAAGTAGACTCAATCTACATAGGAGAAGAAGCTAAGGTCCTCGAGTAAAACCTTTTATCAGCAACCTCCAACCGAGAAACTGGCATGATTCCAGCCAAAGCAGCACTGCCTAGAAACGTATACTGAAACCTCACTCCTTCCTCATCACTAAATGCTATCACCTAATACATGTCATAAGTTTCTTGCTTGTTATTTCCATTGGCTACAAAGAATAAATCCATGCGGTATAGAAGTGGACAAACCTCAACAGGTCGCTTTAGTTCACCCAATTTCCCATTTACTTTCAGAACCTTCAATGCAGAGATTGCAGAAATTATGCCTAATGAGCCATCATATTTACCAGCATCAATAACAGTGTCCTGTTTAAACAAAGTAAGATACAATGGTCAGCATTATCATCTCATTAAAGATCACACAACAAGTAAAATAAAAACAGAATTGTGAATTACCATATGGGAACCAATTAGAAGAGCAGGTGAGCTTCCATTCTTTGGCTCCACTCGACCATGTACATTACCCATGTAATCAACCCACCTGCAAAAAAATCCAACTTTTTCATCTATCCAAGAAAGTTTTGTATATGAGTGCATAAAAATTAAAAAAGAGTAGATTTTCAGAACTAACGTTGATAAACCAGCATCTTCCATCCATCCACGGATAAGAGGTATTGCTCTTATGGATGCTGGACTCATAAAAGTTCTTTCTAGGTGGGCAACTGCATCACTCACCTGAAAATTCAAGAAAACGAAAAGAAAAAAAACTACTAAGATATGTATTGGGGAAATGTGAACAGTAAACAGAGTTCCACTAGAGCAGTCTTCCCAAAAATTCAAGTCAACCGAAGATTTCCTAATGTTCAATAAAGAAGCATTCACTTTTAAGGTAACATGAGCTGGATTCAAGAAAACTTAGGAATAGTTCCATTAGATTCTAAGGGCACCTCCAAAGGGAGGTTTATAATGGGGTTGTTAGATTTAATGTAATTAAAATTAAATCATAAATGATTAATTAGCTAAAGGTCGCTCCTAAACTAACGAGTTTAAACATCGGTGCTTAAAGGAACGTGGCATTTAGCCATTGGTTGTGCACTCTTTAATTATTAAATGGTTAATTTTATTTTTTTCTCTTTCTCTTTCGCCGACAAAATCTCTCTATCTTACCCAGAAACCAAATTCGAAAACCCGACCAAATCTATTAAAATCTCGAAACTTTAAGTCTTTTTTGTGGTTGGAAATGGAAGCTTTTGTGAAGGATGAAGAATACAGTTTCAGGGAAGTGGTGTTGCCGTCGTTTATTTCGGTGGTTCCGGAACCGGAACGAAAGAGAGAGAGAGCAGAGAGATGAGGAGAGGAAGAACCTACCATTGGAGGGGAAAAAAACTAAAGACTTCAATTGAAATTCTTAACTTCAAAAATACCAAAATTTATTCCTAAAAAATAGTTATGAACCCTTCATAAGGTTCAACCATTGGAGATGGTCTAACAAGTAACAACAGCCATGAAAATAAATTAAAAATAATTGATGAAATTAAGAGCAACCCTGAGGGACAACGACACATTCAATCATGTTGGTCAAACAAGACAACAAACATTCCAATACATATTCTCATGAGAAGGTGGTATAAATTATACTATAGATTAGAATACAGATCGAAGAGTAGAATCTTGAAAACAGAGAACAAGTGAAAGCTAAGCAAATTTATTTAAAATTATTGTTTGATTGATGAATAAAGGTACCTGTCCAAGCTCGTGTAACCTTGCAACAGCTTCGTCCCTTAGGATCGTCTGATGCAGATCGTTCTTCGTCCCTTCCGTTTCACCGATTCCTTTTAATGGATAAACCATTCAAATTTGGTAAGAAACAGAACAAAGAGATGAACAGAGAGGCATCCCACGAATTTGAAAAAGGACGAATTTTTAAAAATGGATTTTAGTTTGTGGAGACAATAACAGTAGCTAGACAGAATCTAACATGACTGAGAGAGAATGTTCCCTAATCAAAATGCCCTTTTTAACAAATATTCAAATGGTTTCGAATCAATCAGATCGAATAGATAGAGAAAGATGATAAATTTACCGAAGGAGATTTGGGAAGACGACGACGAAGAAGATGCAGAGGAGGAAGAAGTAGAAGAAGACGATGATGATGAAGAGGAGAGAGCGAGAGGGGATAATAACGAAAACACAAGACACCAGAATAGCACAAGCGACGGATGATGATGGTGATGGTGATGGTGATGATGGTGATGATGATGATGGTGATGGAAGCTAGTGTGATGGACATGGGAGAAGAAATGATGAGATCTAGAGGAGGAAGGAGAAGGATGAGGAACCGCCATGGCTGCCAAATCTTAAGACGAGGTGACGTTAAACGATAGAAAACAAAGACAGCCACGGAACGGAACCAGAAACAACAACACTCTGGCTAAGAGAGGATCAGAGACGATGAGGAAAGGGATCACCTTTTTATTATGGCTTCCATGGCTGAGAGATGGAGATGAGAAATGAGAAGAGAGAAGAGAGAGAGAAGAGGCGGCTGGTGGGTACCCACTGGTCCAACTTGGACGTCAGATGGGGCCCATTTAAACTGATGACGTGGCGATTCTCAGTGGAATCTTGTGGAGACGGTCACATGTGGGTGAGGAATCATGTGCATCCGAAATGGACAATCACACTAAAATGCATTTGTTGTTGTTGGTAATTGTTTATTCGTTTTATTAGTGCACTAATCTTGAAAAGTAGAAAACAAATCTAAATCGATTTGCGTTTAATATAAACCACCCATTCATCAATTGTATCGCCAAGACGTCTAGTCAAAACTTTTACGTTTTTTTCTAAAACGGTTCAAATTATGTTTATATAATACGATCAAATTAAACAAATTTAATTGTCAAATCTAACCGTTTTAAACAGTCTAATGTTTTAGTAAAAAATACAAATCATGATGGGTGGGATTATAGATTTACTACTGGTCAAATTATGTTTCTTCTTCCACGTCTTTTAATTATAGTAAAAAGTAGTATAGTAATATCTAGTTTCAAAATGTCTAGTGATTAGTGAGTCGTGAAGCACTTTTTCTTCTACGTTTAAGGTGCATATGTGACTATGTGAGTAAAGTGACCCAGCAGCAACCAACGAAGTTTCTAGCATCCTATCACTATCCCACGTGATCGACGCACGTGACACCTACCCTCTGTTATATGGGTGTGTGTGAAGCTTCATTAAAGTTTAGTAATTTACTAACACAAAACAAACTCGTAGTAGTGTTTTGTAGTGATTACCGACATAGTTAATTCGTTGATGATGTTACTTGCTTAGACTAGTAGTCTCTGTCTGGGTTGGATTAGGAATTTAGGATAGTAAGACCAAAGTTAGCTCACATTCCATGGATTTCGGATACTTTTCAGGTGACAAAATTATTGTTAACAAAGTCACTTTGGTTGTATACACGTCAAAACCATTTTCTTAGTCGATGATATTATATATCTTCTTTAAGAAAATATCCAACTTTTTTTAGAAAACATATTTATATAATTTGCCCGACTTTAATCATTGCATACCTAGTCATGCACATTAACATTCGTTAAATAATAAACTAAAGAGGTCATATAATAATTGTACATGTTGAACAATAACATGTTTGTTGTTCATACGACAAAATCTATTTTCACGATATCCACATATTATCTTCACAAACACAAAAAAAAAAAAAATACATATTTAATCTTATAATATATATAAAATATTTCAAAATTTTGTTTTGTGTACTTATGTTGAGTGTTAGCTTACTCATCACTTATAAGTGCGGACGCAATGAAATGTGAATAAACTAAACGTGATTATAAAGTAATTACTTGGCCTACTTGAAGTAAGCCCAATATTGATTTTCTTTTCACTTAGTACTTCTATTAAGCCCATTACGGATTTTTCTTTAACCGGATCTCTTAGCTGAACCGAACCGGAATCGGCAGCCAATAATTTTCAAGTCTGGTTTTGGTCATAGAACACTATGAATCTTTTATGTTCTGGAGAAGAGGAGGCTTCATTAGCTTATGGCGTGAAACTTCGTAACCTTTGGTTTGCTAGATTCTATTTGTCAACCTCCGTCTCTGCTCCTGTTTCTTCTTCGAAAACCCTTAAACTGAAGAAGCACAAAAACAAAAAGAAGGGTTTTGTAAACCATGGAGAAGGTTTCAGCAGCTTGCGCCATGGAATGGAGCATCAAGCTCGAGAAATCTCTTCGTTCTAAAAATCCAGGTACTTAATTCCTTCCACTTTCTCAATTATATAGTAGTTGCTTTCGGAATTTGATTAGTTCTTTAAGTGAGAAAGATATATACTTTAGGATTAAGGAGGTTACTTTGCTTTACTTGGTGACTGTACGTTTTTTTAGTCTACTCTGGTACTATGGAAAGTTAAAGTTTTGATGTTTGGGGATGTTTATTTCAGTTAGAGCCGTTGAAGTTATCTTAGAGACTGGTGGGAAGCTTGAACAATGGAGCAAAGAACCAGAGCCTGCAGTTGCTGTTTACAATTTATTTGGTTTGCTTCCTGAAGAAGATAAGCTCTTTTCCAATACTATCTTGTTGAGGCTAGTTGACGCGTTTTGTGTCGGGGATAAGCTTATTAAGCTTGCTGTTGTCCGGGTTTTTATGTCGATGTTCAAGCAAAGTCGAAGAAAGAACATAAGCGAATCTGCAACTTGGTTTTTGTCAAAGGCTAGGGTGTATAACCACTTGGAACTTCTGAAACGAGTGAAGAATGTTTATGATAAGGGTGATACTGAGACAAAAGCTTTGGCTTTGATTCTGTTTGGTTGTTGGAGAGATTTCGCTAGCGAATTTGCTCCAGTTCGGTTCTTGATTTTCACCAGTATGGTTTCTTCACATGACCTGGAGGTAAGCATAGCTCATTTTAGTTCTTTTTTTTTTTATGTTTCTGCTTGTGATTTTTCTGTTATAAATGATACATGAAATTAGAGTTATAATTACTCACGCATTTGGCATTGTGTTCTGCGACTAGTGTATGTTACCAGGCATGAGGACTCATTCAATTGTATAGTTGTGCATTTTATAGCAAACAATTCACATATAGAAATTTTCAAGCTTCACTGCCAGATCTTGTGTATGTTAGGGGGTTGGTTTCTTTTAAGTTAGTTTCGAAGATTGAGTGGCTGTGGTTAGTCTAAGTTTAAAGAAAATCTCAACTGGCTTACCACCCCTAATGCGATTTTGGACTTGGTAGTTGGAATACTCTTTCTTAGGAAAAATTAACTGTTCAAATATATTTTATGCATGCAGGTAAGATCAGCTTTGTTTGCTGCAGCTTTCTTTTGTGAAGTAGCAGATGACTTTGCTTTGGTTGTTTTGGGGATGTTATATGACATGGTGAAGTTCCCAGATATAATGCCAAAGACCAGGTTAGCTGCTGTGCGAGTTTTTGCAAAAATGGGATGCTCGCATGCAATTGTTAATAGAGCATTCAAGGTTCTTTGTCTAATTCTTATTCTATCTGCCTCTAATGCTCAAAGATTTTCATGTATAGTTGCCGTCAAGAAATTTTTGGTAAAGAAAAATTTGCTGAAACCGAAATAGTTTTGCTGTTGTTGTTACCATCTTGAGATTTCAAAATGTATTAGATGACTAGATTAGAGTATCTATCTGAATGTAAGACTCTGCCATTGTACAGAATTTCATATCAACACATTATTTTATTGCAGATTTGTATGAAGCTAATGCTGGAATCCCCAAAAGAGGACAATTTGGTTTCGTTCCTGGTTTCCCTGACTAAGCTTGCTTCAAGATCTACTTATCTTACTTCTGAACTGGTATGTTCTTTTTCTCCTTATAACGTTTTCTAATTGCTGGCTTACACAAATATGAATGAATTGAATGTTTTACTGTCAATATATTGGCCCTTGTGAAGATTAATTTTGTAGCAATAGAAAGCCACTGTTTTTCCGAGTTTGAGTCTTCACTTTCCTTTGGTTCTCTAGAAATGGGAACTATTCCGCTATTTACTGAAATACAATCTAATACAGAAATATCTATTATTTACTCAATGTGGGTGCAGGCAAAGGTTATTATACCCTTTCTGGGTGAAGATAAGACTTCTCATGTTCGAGCTGCGGTATTGAGATGTCTTCACTTTCTCATAGAAAGAGGGATGTGTTTCTCTCTTGTCCATGAAAGAGAAATTGCAAGTGTGTCAAGCTTGCTAAAGCAAGAAGAGCTCTCATCAGATATGCAACTTAAAGCTCTTCAAATTTTTCAGAAGGTGATTCGTAAGCTATATATGTTAATTTTTTTTTTTGGTCTCAGAATGTACATGCTTACTTTTCTTTGATGTGAATGCAGATACTTGTCTACAAAATATGCATGGCTGATGCATCTGAACTACATCAGCTCGTAGCTATTGTTGAGAATGCATCTCAATCTCAGATCTTCTCAAGCAGTTGTTTTGCTATCAGTATTTTGGTGGGTATATGGATAGAAATAGTTCGGACAGCAGAAATAAGATCAACTGAGGTTTCTTTAACACCTCTTCCGCTGCATCTCGTTGTATTAATTATGGACAGAGTCACCTTGCTAGGACGCTTATGTTCGGATCCTTTTCAAGGTGACTATGCACTAGTTGGTGAGGTTCAAGACCTCTTCAATGTTCTCCACCTATTACTAGGAAAACATTCTGAACTGAGGCTGCTAGTTCTTGACAAAGTCATGTTATTCCTAGAGTATATTGTGAACCTAATTGATGGCTTACGAAAACCAGATGGAGCTCATGAACTGCTGCTTAGTGTTATCAATTATCAAGGCAAAAGAGGGGCGGTCATGAGGTCAGAATTTCTAGCATCAATACACAAGTTCCTGATAGTGTTCTTGGAGAATCTCGAGGGCGATGATTCTCTTTTTTCTCAAGTTTATGAAAAGGTGAAGCATATCACTGAGTGTGTACGTTCATGCAGCTTCTTTGATTTCCACACACAAATGGTATATACTCTGCTATTACATTCTCCCGTTTTTTGGGGATTCCCTGTGAATGATGATGCAGAAGGAAAGTCAGGGGTCTCATTTGTTGCTGATATAGTTAACTACGGAATCGTTTCTCTTGACTGTTCAAATCAAATTTTAATGGAAAGAAACTACTGGCCTGCTTACAGAGTTGGGGTTTATGCAGCACGTTTGGGTGCTTGGGTCATCTCTGCTTTGATTTTTGACAAGCTGAAAATTAACGTCCAGTCTGATATTAACTGTCTTTGGTTAAAGTCATTAACCTATTTATCTCGTGCTGAGGGGAAATACCAACTGCTTTTCACACCAGGTGATAATTTCAAGTTAGTCAATTGGTTGAGAAGTAGCGGTTATTTGCCAGAACTCTCCATAGAGGCATCTGGAGAGTTTGCTCACTGTGTAGCTCTTCATGATGCTTATATGAATTTACAGTCGTCTTTGGGAATGTTGGGAAATATTATAGCATCGGGTGAATTGTTCTGTTTCCAAACTTGGTTCTTGGTTTTAAGGACTCGGGGAGTGGAACTTGTGATTGATCTCGTTGAAACCCTCGGGCTGCTTAACCAAGATATCCGCAATAAGAAGCTGGTGGAGAAAACGACCTTGATTGGTTGCAGTTCTCTGCAACAGCTTCCTCGAATTTCTATTCAGCTACAAGAGTTGGCAAAAGATTTTGATATGTTGGCGAAGTGTTATTTAGACATAGACGACAACAGTTTTAGCATTATCACAACATTTTCACTGAGCTGTTCAGTTCTGGCTTTTGCTGCTGGAATAGTTCTTTTCCTCTCAGATTTTTCTTTTCATGAAGCAATGGTTCCTTTCACTTCACAAAGTGATCTGTGCTCGAGGCTTGTAGAGGATTTAGTTCAACGGCTGGGGAAAGTGGACCCTGAAATTTGTGAAAAGCTCAACTTACTCAATAAGGCAAACAAAACATTAGACTGTCTACACCGGCAACCTAGGAATCAGGTATTGAGAGTTTGTGTCAAGGTGAAGATGCTGCTCTCTATTTGCAGAGATGCTCTTGCATGCATTTATGGATTGCAGAATCTGTCAATATCAATGCAAAAAGAGGAGATTATGTCTGGGATTACTGAAAGTTGCAGGAGTCTACTTTCACAAGCAATTATGAAATGGATGCAGATTCCTTTTGGCATTCCAAAACATTTCTTCCACATAAGGTATTCTCGTCGTGCTGACTTTATCTCTAATCAAACGAACTCATAGTGAGTACGATTCTATTGGGAATATAATCTCTACTTTCTGGATCACCAAATCATTATTGAATTTCTGATGGAAGTAATCGTTAGGTCTGATAATTAACTTGTCTTTGTGCTGCTTAGTGAATTAAGGACTACATGTTGATATCTAACCATAGCTGAATCTCTACTGTATTTTCCCAGCTAATATGTTTTCTTTGGATTAAATTTCAGGCCTTGTGTTGGTGCCGAGCTATTTGCTCTTAGTTCAGGTGGTAGCAAGCATACTCCTGATACAGTTTCAGTGGAACAAGGGTTTCAACTGTCACTAGATCTTTGTCTTCAGTTGAAAAACGTACAACAACGGCAAGCCCCTGTTAGGATTAACAAACTGTATTGCCTTCTCTATTCTAAACTAGCTTATCACACTCCAACTCAGCACGGTGAAACCAACAGAAACCAAAAGTCTTATTCCCCTTGGAGAGATGAAGATCTGGAAGAAATGAGTAACAAGCTATATCATCATGCTATAAAGTCTAGTAAGAAGCTGGAAGTTTCAGGTCGATCTGATTGGACCAAGGATGGTGTTTCCACGATTGCGCAGTTCGAACCAAATGAGAGAGGACAAGGGTTCTCGAGCTGCTTGCTAGATGTTTCGCGCTTCCCAGTTGGCTCATATAAAATAAAATGGCTAAGCTGTTGCATTGATCAACATGGTTCTTACTGGAATCTCCTACCTCTCAATGGAAAACCTGTGTTTACAGTTAAGAAAGCTTCGTGACTAAAATATTAAACCAAGTGCGTCTCACAGCTCTTTACTTTTGATATAAGATCCAAGGAGGATCTAGTTTGGGAGCAAGCAAAAAAAAGAGACAGTGATTGGATTGATGTAGAAGCTTGTGACTAATCTCGAGATTTGCAAGTGAGTTTTGAGCAACCAATTAAAATCAATCTCGGGTCTGGTGGTCAGTGGCTCAGTGCAGACATTGAAGGGTTTTGGTTCCTCCAGAAGCTACACACATGAGAGATGTTTGCTTCAACGCTATTTAGTTGAACCATCTTTTTATTGGTTATGTTATATATGTTATGTACTGTAGACTATGAGGATCCTTGAAATGTAAATAAGTTAAAAATTTTGTTTAATTAAAATATATTGGTTCATAGAAAAGCTAAATTCCTTTAAATGTAAATAAGTATAAAATTTTGTTTAATTAAAATATATTGGTTCATGGAAAAGCTATATTCAATTATCTATCCAACCTAACACTGATACAATTAGCTAATAATTAAAGCTTTTATTGAAAGCAAAACTTTTGTTGGTGGCCAATTATTTACTCAAAATCTTTGTACTAGTTAGTGTTCAGACTATATAATACTATTGTTGCAAAGTTGAGTTATGTATAATTTACAAGACCGGTTCAGAAATCAAAGAGATACAAAATGATATTCAAAATTAAATTTATTTCCCAAATCAGTTTACTCTAATTTTTCCACAAAAATTATTCAGGAAATTAGTAATATTCAACCAAAAGAAAATTTGTTTTGAGTCAATGAAATTATATTTAGAGGAAGGAAATTGAGTTACGTAGTCAAAATGAACTAAATGAATATGTATTATTGAATTTTAATATGAGTTGAATGGGAAACAAATCAAAGAAACTTATTTACTTGGAATACGAATATTATTGACAAAACTTCCATAACCAAAGGGGAGACAAATACCCACACACACACATAAAATCATATTAAAAAGAAATGAACTCGTTCACAACAACAACAAAATTTGCTTTGAAGCAAATGTGTAAAATTATGAATGAAGGAAGAAGGAGAAGCCAAAATTAAAATTCTTGTAAGTACTTTTGCATTAAGCATTGTTTTGTTCGACTTTTGTTCTAAGGTTTCTTGATTTTTGAGAATTTGGTTTTGAGATCACAAAGACTAACTCTGTGAGAAATAGATCTGATGAATCGGTTCATAGCTGAAATTGTTTGCCATTTGTATCGTTTCTTTTTTCTCTAATGAGGTGAAAATTATTAGTTGGGAAACTATCATCAACGCACATTCATTATAAAATTTTAAGTTGTACATATTTTGATAATTCATTGCCATTAATTAACACAATTTTGTGAAGTTGTAACAAAGCTAATATGAGGAAAAAGGTTAACGTAATGTCATTACCGTTGAGTTTTGGTTTGCATTTAATTAACTCGGGTGTAACCTACTTTACTTTGCATCCCAGTTTCTTATGTTTTTGGTTGCAAAAATTTAACTATTTTTAATCAAACCTTTAGATACCTATAAATAGGTTGATTTTTGGGACCTAATCAATTGTTTTTTTACCACCTAACATGACTCTAGAATAACTCCTTTTACAAAAACTTTGCTATGAGAATAAAAGGCCAATTTCATATTTCTCGTAAGTCATTATCCCTAAATCTAGCATTTCATTATATTTAATGTTTTGATTATATTTTTATTTTATTTTTGTAAATATATATGATATAAATGTTTTCTTCCTTTATATTCAATTTTCCCAAATTAAAAGTATTTTTGATATATTTTTGTTTTCTACACCCGATTTATTTGATTTGCAATATCTATCATTATACAGAGATTTTTTTTTTTTTTAATATATAGCTTTATTATACAGAGATTATTTGTTTATGTTGTTCGGCTCTGTTTTACATTTACAGGCCTCAAATACAACCTCATCGGAATCCCGAAACAGTATTTGGGATTTTGAACAATAGAGAAGCTCTCAATCAAGATTTATTAGAAGGTACGTTTTACTTACTTTCTTGTTTTTTTTCAGGAAGAAGGTGTAAATGTAGATAACCAAACACACACACACAAACAAACAAACAAAAAAACTTGTTTCATCCTCCATCGTTTCTTTAAAGCATTAATAGTAGTGATTAACAAAATAAGTTAAAATTACACAACTTTACACGCTTTACAAACACTTAAAAGCAAAACATTCTAACGATTTTTTTACCATTCTTAAGCAAATAAATTTATTTTAATTATAGGAAAAAACTTATTGGATGAGTGATTGCATATATCTTTTAGTTAGAACAAATATTCAAATAAATAGGAAGAAAAAAACTCTACCAAAAACCTATCCACCACTCAAACCTCCCCAACCAAAACCCCATGACTTGGTTTACCCTTTTACATACAATATCTAATCTCATAATGCATGAATCTTATACCTTTATGCACTTTGTTGATCTTTTACAATCTGCCGCAAGCTAACTACCATAACTATCTCTTAGTCACCCTCTCTCTATATATAAAAAAATCATAATATGTCACGTAGAAATGTCGGAAATTTAGTAATGTTTTGAAAAGATTTTGGTTTCAAGGTAAGTGAGATCTTATGATAAAATTTAGTTATTCATTAAGAAGTCTTAAGAGTTTCGATCTTTATGAACAAATATTACGTTTACGTTATTGCGTAAACCGGTAGAAAAAATAAAGAGGAAATAAGGGATCAAGATGCACAAGGAGTGCGAAATGTGTGACTCCCAATAGAAAAGACAAAAGTTTGTATAATGTTTCATTGGTAACCTTAGTTAGGCCTTTCTCTTTCCATGTGCTATAAACAACATACGTATATATATAAATGTCTCACAAGCATTTACCTTCAGCCATTCTCTTATTTGGCTCGTTTGGATTATAATAGGAGCTAGCAAGGAAAACCATGGAGCTAAGGAAAACTCAAATGTCCATGCCGGTTTGGTTGGCGATAATGAGTCTAATGATGAGTCAAGTGGTCTTAGCCGATAAATATTCAGGTTCAATGTCCCCTCATGACCGGAAACTAGCAGAAATGCAAGCCCTTAAAGCTTCATTGGTTCGTCGAAACCTACCGGCTCTAGTATCTCCCCCTCCTACCCCTCCTCAGGTATATATATAATTATACAACCTTTCTCTAAGATGATTTGTGTTTGTTCATTTTGGTTTAATATATACATAAGATGAAATTGAAATGAATGATGTAGGCAGTACCTGGTCCACGCGTGTATGAAGTGATATCATATGGTGCCGATCCCACAGGGAAATTGGATAGCACGGATGCGATATTAAAAGCTATGGAAGAAGCGTTCGATGGTCCAAGTCATGGAGTTTTGATAGAAGGTATTAATGATCTTGGAGGAGCAAGAATCGATCTTCAAGGTGGTAGCTACTTAATCAGCCGTCCTCTCCGGTTTCCCTCCGCCGGCGCCGGAAATCTCCTCGTAAGTATATCTCTTATTATTTTTCCTATCTCATCTTCTTTTTTTTTTATGATCAAAACTATATATATTTTACAAATAGAGTTAGATTTCTCGGTACGTACGTGTGATTTAATATACCGACAAGACAAAAGTCGTGTTCCTATAATAATATGTCTTCAAGGCCCGTCTATATGACGTGATATGACATTTCGTCAATATTTTTACGTACATGATATTTAAAACATGAAATTCTCAGTTAGGAACGACCTTATAGTTTAAACGTAAACTTGATTAAAGATGCTCTTAGCTAGGTTTGGTGAACCAAAGGTAATTTACTTTAAAAGCTTCTTTTTTCTTTCACGAGAATATAATGATTCCTTTCTTTCTATGCATGTTTCTCTCTTAATTTCAAACATTATGACTTTTTTTAATAACTCTTCCAACAAAAGAAGTTTCTTCCTTTTTTGAGTATTGTAACAAAAGAAGTTTATAATTATTTATTTAATGTGATTTACTTCCTTTTTGTCCTTTGCATATAGTACTAAAAATTATTTTAAAGTTTTCATCAAAGCTACAACTTTCATTACTTTATTAGATACTTTAATTTCTAAATTATTGAAAAAGCCTTGTTATTAAATATTCTTGGTTGATGACGTTGAAAATAATGTGTTCATATTCTTACAATCATAGATTAATTTTTTTTTTTTGAAATTGATGGGTTTTTTTTTTGTTTCTTTGACTTGTGTGACACGTCAGATAAGCGGAGGTACACTAAGAGCATCAGATGATTTCCCGGTGGATAGGTACTTATTCGAACTCAACGACGAGAAGTCAACACAACAATACATCTTCGAGTACATAACTCTCAGAGATCTTCTCATTGACTGTAACTACCGCGGCGGAGCAATCGCTGTAATCAACTCTCTCCGAACAAGCATTGACAACTGTTACATCACTAGGTTCGGTGACACGAACGGGATCCTTGTCAAAAGAGGACACGAGACTTACATCCGAAACTCGTTTCTCGGTCAGCACATAACCGCCGGTGGAGATAAAGGAGAGAGAAACTTTTCCGGTACCGCCGTGAACCTGATGGGTAACGATAACGCCGTTACTGACACCGTCATATTCTCGGCCAGGGTCGGGGTGATGATATCGGGACAAGCGAACTTGTTATCAGGAGTGCATTGTTATAACAAAGCAACCGGGTTCGGAGGAACCGGGATTTATTTGAAATTACCCGGTTTAACACAGAACCGGATTGTGAATTCGTATTTGGATTATACCGGTATCGTCGCGGAAGACCCGGTTCAGCTACAGATCTCAGGAACGTTTTTTTTGGGAGATGCGTATATTTTGCTGAAATCGATAACCGGAATGGTTCGAGGGGTTAACATCGTCGACAATATGTTTTCCGGTTCGGGTAAAGGGATCCCGATTGTTCAATTGGATCAGACGAAGACTGCGTTTGATGAAGTTGATCAAGTGGTCGTTGATCGGAACAGTGTGAACGGAATGGGAGCGACATCGACGGTGGCTAGAGGATCGGTATACGGAAACGGGACGTCTTGGACCGTAGATTTTAAACCGGTTTTGCTGTTCCCGGACATGATCAGTCACGTGCAGTACACACTCGTGGCGAGTGAAGCTGGGGCGTTTCCTATACACGCGGTAAGGAACGTATCTGATAACCGAGTTGTCGTTGAGACAAACGCACCTGTTACTGCAACAGTTTATGTAACAGTGACTCAATGAGGTTTTTAACATGCCGTCGTGTGTTTTTTGCCGTAATAATGGGTTTAATAAGTTTAATTATGAAAATTATTTATAATGAAGGTATTTATTTTTATTTGTAATTTTGTTTTTCGTTTAATAAGGAGGGAATTTAATTTTATAATTACTATACTAATAAATGATAAAAACTCGAAAACTGTGAATACAGTGGAAGAGTTGTTGGCAGACATTTACTTATTGTCTGATAAAAAAATTCAATGCAGTGACTAAATGAGTTTTTGGTATTATTCTCAGTTACTTCTGAATTGTGTTTTTGACCAATAACTCTATTTTTCTATACACTAAAATCAAATAAAGTTGCCTAAAGTATAATTTCAACAAAGTTGGTGGCTATGAAAGAACATTTCTGAAGAAGATGTGTATGTGTTGGCCATCATAAAGTAAAATTTTGTTTATGTTTTCAACACTCAATCACCATTTTCAGTGATTATTTACTTGTACGTCTTTCATTTATATTTTTCAGTAAACAATTTAATACTTTAAATGACAAAATAAGTACAATGCGAATATCATTTTCTTATTAAACGATGACTAATTATGGAGAAAAGCAAACTTTATGACGAATAAAATCTTGGGATAATGAGATGGGTTGTTAACAAAGTCTAAAACGAATGATAATTTAGCTCCCAAAAAAAGAGACTATTGGTAAATTTTGCAGAAAATTGTGGAATAGAACTTAAATTGTTTTTTTTTTTGCTCAGGAAACTCATTTAGAACCGTGTTACTGAAATGATTGAACAGCTAAACATCAATTACGACTAATAATTATTTATAAATTAGGCCCGTAAGGAACAAAAATTCGAACACTTTGATCTTTCTCCTTTTTTGAATGTTTAATCACCGGTCTACGAACATGCTTTGATCTTTCTCCTTTTTCATGTCTTTTTCGCGTTTTCTTATGAATAAAGCAAAATCCATAAAGTGTTTCTGTTTAATAAAATTGGAACTCGAGTCGGTACATTGAAAGAAAAATAAAGCTAAATTTAATAACAGAGACTATAATGCAATGCCTTTTTAATAAGACACACACATACACACGCTTATATCATCAACCTTCATCTTCGTCATAATCATTCCCAACAAATCTATCTCTCTCTTTCTCTTTCTTTTTCTCTCAAGAAGTAGACAAAAGTCAAGAAAGAAACAAGATGAGACTCCATGGCTTTGTTAGCAGCTCGTTGCTACTGTTTCTCATCACAATTACAATGGTGTTTGAAGAGACATTGTCTTTTAGAAGAGACATGACCAAGCTTTTGAAGTTTCAAGAGAAGATCCAAGAAAGACTCTCAGTCGTCACTCCCACTCTCTCACCATTGTCTTCTCCTTCTTCTTCTTCTTCACACTCTCCCAAAATGGTAACTCGGACTATTCTGTTTCGGTGTAGTACATACACGCACGTGTCGTGTGTTATGTGGTTTTGTGAGCGTGTGAGTTTGGTTTTGTGCTTGTGCAGGTGGGGAAGGTTATATACCCTATTGGTTACGGAGCTGATCCGACAGGTGGACGAGATAGTAGTGACGCAATTCTAGAAGCTTTAACCGATGCTTTTCAGTTACAAACTGGACTTGAGATGCTTCCACGTGTCGCTGATCTTGGTGGTCTTGTTATTGATCTCCAAGGTGGCAATTACATGATCGGAAAACCTCTCAGCTTCCCTTCCTCCGGCGGTGGAAATCTTGTGGTTAGTCCCCAAGATTAATTTTGGAGTTTTTGCTTTAAAAGTTTTGTTGAGCCTTTACACAATTTTTGGGTGTAATTCAGGTAAAAGGTGGGACTTTCCGGGCATCGGAGGTGTTTCCCGGTAACAGGCATTTGGTTGAACTCGTGGCATCAAACTACAAGAAACCAATGAAAATGTCGTCTTTCTCCGATCAGAAAAACCAGAACTCCGGGATATTATATGAAGATGTGACTTTCCAAGACGTTCTCTTCGACTCAAGCTTCCGAGGAGGGGGTATTTTGGTGATCGACTCGGCTCGTATTCGTATAGCCAACTGCTACTTCCTCCATTTCACAACACAGGGGATTAAAGTCCAAGGGGGTCACGAGACATACATTTCAAACTCTTTCGTGGGGCAACATTCAACGGTGGGAGGAGACACAGGAGAAAGAGGATTTACCGGTACAGGAATTGACATCTCGAGTAACGATAATGCCATTACGGATGTAGTGATATTCTCGGCTGGGATAGGTATCTCTTTGAACGGTGAAGCGAATATGGTTACGGGCGTGCACTGCTACAATAAAGCTACATGGTTTGGTGGAATCGGCATCCTTGTGAAATCGCATTTAACGAGGATAGACAACTGTTACCTTGATTACACAGGTATTGTCATTGAAGATCCTGTCCACGTTCATGTCACTAATGCCTTGTTCTTAGGAGATGCGAACATCGTCTTGAGATCAGTACACGGGAGGATTTCCGGGGTAAACATTGTCAATAACATGTTTAGCGGTACTGCGAAAAACAACTTCCCTATTGTCAAGCTGGAAGGGGAGTTTCATGATATTGATCAAGTTGTGATTGATCACAACAACGCTGAAGGGATGACGCTGAAATCTACAACCGGAAAGGCCAAGGTTTCCGCGAATGGGACAAGATGGGTCGCCGACTTTTCCCCTGTTTTGCTATTCCCAAACCGAATAAACCACTACCAGCATTCGTTTTTCTCTCAATCCGGGCAGATCCCTGCAAATGCAGTGACCAATGTTTCCAACAATGTGGTAATTGTAGAAACTGATAGAGCTGTAACTGGAACCGTGTCAGTTATTGTATACCAGTAAAACAACATTCTTCATATTGAACACTGACTCATTGTAAATGAGAGAGCTTGATTCAACTTATTGTTCTTTCAATAATCATACATCTATATAATACGAGCTGGTTTATGTAAGTTCAGTTTACAGTTTGGTGAACTAGATGCTAACAACTAATACCAGCAATCAGCGACCTCATCATTAGCAGGTTCGTCTGGCTCTTGAGTCTTCTCAGGGGGACCAGAAGTCCTCGGCAATCCTTGGAAATCACGTTTCCCGGGTTTCGCAATGTCTATATAAATCATCCTGCCATTGTACATCTGCAACAAAAAATGGAAACATTCTGGTTGATTTCGAAACATAAAAACTGTAGACTAGTTTAATCCATTTAAGCTTGTGATGAAGAAGCTTTTATTACCCGACGGTCCATGGTCTCTATGGCTAGAAAAGCATCATCCTGAGACTTGAATTGAATAAAGGCATAACCTTTTGATCTCTTCATGGACTCATCTTTGACAAGCTTAACTATTTTGAAAGATTAAAGAGTGAACAATATCAATGCCAATAAAACTGAACCTTATAGCAGTAAAAACAGAGCAAATGAAAACACACCTTCAGCTATCTCTCCAAAAGCTGAAAACTCCCTTTGCAGAAAATCTTCACTTGTAGAAAACGGTAAATCTACAAATTTCAAAGCCAAAAACCATCATAAACATAGAGAAACCACAGTATTGAAGTTACAAGCAAGTTCAATACCACTAATGATTGTTAAGTTAACACTTAACACAGCACAAGAGCTATCAAATGTTACAGTCACAGTACTGACTAAAATCCTTCACAAATCCGTTCTCAGTAAAACCAGAATCAAAACTTTTTCCTCGAGCAATAACATAAACCAAATGCTAATCTCAGCTAGAAGAATTCAAATCTAAAACAAAGCAAAGTCCAAATCTTACTTCTGACCATGATTTTGCTCGCCAGAGGGTAATTAAAAAGCGAAGCTTTAATCTTCGGGAACCTACGGTTCCTGTAGTTTGGTAGAGAAGATGATGATGCCACATAGGAAGGGAAAGACAACGTCGCCGACCACATAATTCTCAGTCGCCGGAGAAATAGAGAGAGAAGAAGTATAAAACACAATCGTGTTTTCCAAACCGTTGTTTAACGCTAACGAACGACAGCGTTTTAATGGATGTATCTGATAACATTTAGAACTTTGTGCGAAGATTGGAAACGATTCGAAAAAGAAAGGACTTAAGAGGTAATTTACTATTTATTAACCTATTTGTAAAACCCACACAAAAACCCTAATTTCATTTCCTCTAAAAGCTTCCAGAAATTTTGAGACTCTTCATCATTTCTCTCCCGATGGCAATGTTATCTCACCGTCTCCGACGAGCTTTACTCACGGCGACTTCTTATGTTAACCGATCAATTTCTGTGTCCCCGACTTCTATTGCACCAGCTTCCGATTTCCCTGCTGTGTCTTCAGTGCTACAGAGATCTGTTTTGGGGAGATCGACTGAAGTAGCTATTCGAGCTCCGGTGAGACTGTATTCGACGAGGCAGCTCAAGCTTTACAAAGAAGGTGATGAGATAACGGAAGACACTGTGTTGTTCGAAGGGTGTGATTATAATCACTGGCTTATCACTATGGATTTTCCCAAGGATGATCCTAAGTCTCCTGAGGAAATGGTCTCTACCTATGAACAAACTTGCGCCCAAGGACTTGGAATCAGGTCAGTATATGCATAGATTAAGTGAAGCTTGTTACGTAGATTGGTTGCTTGGAGTTTAATTTTCCAAAGATCAAGTTTTTAATTTCAGTGTGTTGTTACTTATTTCGTCTGAAATGTGGTTTCTTTTAGTTCTTTACCATTGGGTCGGTTAGAAAACAAGACAGTATATGTGTCTCGCCATTGTTATGTAGCTTTGCTTCAGTTTTTGTGCGTCTTCTTTTATAAATTATATTAGTTTAGGCGATTTTACTGTTTTTTTTTGGTGCTTATGGTTGATTCAGTGTGGAAGAGGCCAAGCAAAGGATGTATGCTTGTAGCACAACTACTTACCAAGGTTTTCAGGCAATCATGACTGAACAAGAATCAGAAAAGTTCAAGGGTATTTAGTTCGAATAATATGTTATTTTCCTGTGAATTTTAACTTCTTCAGTAGGATTTTGAATCCTTTTTTATTTGTATGTAAACAGATCTACCCGGAGTGGTCTTCATATTGCCAGATTCCTACATTGATCCCGTGAACAAAGAGTATGGAGGTGAGCTCTTGGGGTTTTACAAAGTCTTCTCATTTTTGATTATATAGTTTTGGAATTTTACAAAAAAAAGATTATGTTTCATGTTTTCAGGAGACAAATATGAGAACGGAGTGATCACACACAGGCCACCACCAATTCAGAATACAAGAGCAAGATCACGTCCTAGGTTTGACCGTACAGGAGGAGGAGGTCCTCAGAACTACCAAAGAAACACACAGTATGGTCAGCAACCGCCAATGCAAGGTGGTGGAGGGAACTATGGTTCTCAACAGAGCTATGGCACTCCAGGACTAGGTCAGGGAACTCAAGCGCCTCCACCATTTCAAGGAGGTTACAACCAAGGCCCAGGATCTCCACCACCTCCATATCAGGCAGGTTATAATCAAGGCCAGGGGTCTCCAGTGCCTCCATACCAAGGGCCACAAGGCAGTTATGGTCAAGGCGGATCTGGGAACTATAACCAAGGGCCACAAGGAGGTTACAACCAAGGAGGACCTAGGAATTACAGCCCACAGGGAGCTGGAAACTTTGGTCCTGCACCGGGAGCTGGAAATACCGGTTATGGGCAGCCTGGTCAGGGATATCCTGGACCTGGACAAGAGCAGAATCAAACAATTCCACAGGTAGCTCAGAGGAATCCAGACTGGAACAACAGTAATCCAGCAGGCCAATCCGGCCCTGATCAAGTAAGTGTTTGACCATAAATGAATCTTGCATCTTTCAAGTACTCCATTTTCCACATATTTGTTACTGAGATGGTCTGGCGTTTCAGTTTCCACAGGGAAGAAGATACTAGACAGAGATATGATGCATGATGCAGTGACTGAGCTGAAATAAGGAGAGAAGTGTCATAGGCCTTTATGAAGTTTTATAGTAAATAGTATCTAATCATCTTTCTTTTTTGTAAGACAATAGTTTTGTCTCTTTTCTCCAATGTTGAGCTTCATGAACGTTGTTGGTTGCATCTGTTATTTAGAAACACTCTTGCAAAACGTTCTTTCAGAATCTAATCTGCTTTGATTTATGCGAGATTTACGTGAGATTGATGCGAGGTTTTTGCTATCATATTCCACTTTAAGGTCTGACCAAAGATAAAACGCAAACTCTAAGCAATTGAATAGAGAAATGACGAATTTTGTAAACACTTTGGAGCTCTTTACAAGGAGATTACTGTTTCTAAGGCTACGAGACAATACTTTCTTGTTTCTTCTTGACTGGTGGTAGCTTTGGTAGTAGCCATGTAGGAGACTCGTTTAGCCACAGTGCTTCACCTGTCTCCTTGTGTTTGAAATCAGGAGCTTTTGCATTTCTCTACACTCGAAACGAAAACGATATTGGGTTGGGACTATAGTTAGGTTCTTCAAAAGATTGATTAAGAAAAAGAAAGAGCAACTGATATTGATATACTACCTTGTCAATTCTATTGTCCCACCATTTATCTGGGTTTTGAACTAAGTCCTTCCATGATTCTTCACCTACACCATCTCAGACCAGATTTCGGTTTATTGAAATACACATGAGCCCAACATTCTTTGTGTAGTTTCATACAAACATGGAAAAGTTGGAAACTTTACCTTTAAGTTGTTTCACTATTCTGGCTTTAGGGACAAGAACATCAAACTCAAGTCCTTCAAGTTTGGGTAAAACCCAGTTAGGAGCTTTATTGAGCCACAGTGAGAGACTACTGTCCTTGCTCTTGAAATCAGGATGCCTTGGTTTTACCTATGCAGGAACAGCAACCGAGTAAGTCAGAACTAGTGGAGTAAAGAGATTTAGCATAAATAAGGACGAATTATTAAGCACAATGGGGATTTACCAAGCCATTGACTTTATTTTCCCGGTGATCCCACCATTCTTTAGGATTCTCAATGAGGCGATTCCAAGAATCTGAAGCTTCATCCATGACTACGTCCTTCTTAGCTCTAGCTAACGAGTCAAAATTTTAACAAAACATTAGCACAGAGAGTTGAGAACAACTGTATGCCAAGAGAGAGTCCACAAGAGAATGCTTTTTCTACTAAACCCATTACAAAAGGAAAATACTAGCTGCCTAAGAACTTTGCTCAGACCTAACACATTCACATATCATAGGTTTAGAAAATAGAATTCTGGACCTTGACAATTCTAAACAGTCTATTCGAAACGTTAGATGAGACATACCAGGATGCTTCTTGATGACACTTTCTTCCTTTTCAGATGATGAAATAACAATAGACGGAGAAGTAGGCTTTAGAAAGTTGAGATTCTGGACCAACACCTGTCGTAAGTAACCACCTTTAAGTTACAAAGATTCCATGGATTGAACTACTCATACAATTCAACGGGAAAACAATAACACAAGACAGTCGAATCAACATAGTACTGTTTTCATAAGTTATAAAGCTTCTCGTGCCCTTTCAAACACTAAATGAAATCTAATCAAACACTAATTAAGGCTCACACCTGAACATTGGCTTGTGCATAAGTCATATTTGGAGGAGGGGAATCTATAAAAAGCTTCCCAGAAACATGAATTTGATCGTCTTTATTTATATAACGAGCTGCCGTTTTAGCTAAATCGCCTTCAAAAATTATCGGAATCCTGATGAAAAAAATCCAAAACCTATTTCATATCAATCATGAACAAAATACGGAATATCAAAATCTCATCTTTGAGTATATCTGATTGGAGAAGAGTACCAGAAAGCAGCGGAATCAGAACCAGACCTCTGGGAAATAACAGTACCAGCCCAGAATTTGCCATCAGAAGAAGCTTCGAATTGAACTGGTTGATTAACAAACCCAATCAGATTAACCCAATTCGCCACTTCATTCTCGAAAGCTATCTCATTTGGCCGACCCAACTCATTCTCCGTCGTCGCCGTGACCGTCGCAATCTCCGGCGTTTTCACAGGTGTCACAACCTCCGGAGTTTTCGCCGGTGCTTTGGCTCTTTGTCTCTTCCCGCCACTTCCGGTTTTCCCACCGACGGTCGCCGCAGTGCAGAAGCGGATTTGCGGCGGAGAGGTTATCCGTTTTCCGGTAGGGATTTCCGAAGCTCTGGGATGGAAAAATGGCGAACATTCAATTCTCGTCAATGATTTGGAGATCAAATTCATCTTTTCATAAGAACGATGACAACAACAACAAAAAAAATCCCTAATTTGCAAAGGAACAAGAGAAGCCCTAATTTTTTTCTTGAAAGGGTTTAAGGAAACAAAAAAAAAAAATTCAGACAGTGATTGGTGAGTACTGTCGTTTTTCGTTGGCGCGGAAGAACTGTAAACTTGATTATTCAGTTCACGGATTTAATTTGGGCCTTATATGGGCCTCAGTATTAGGATATCTCATGTTTTTGCGTTTAGATATCGCTTTGAAGGTTTGTTTTTCTTTTCTTTCCATATATATTCTCTACATGATCCAAGGGAATGTTCTCATTCTTGGTGTAAATGGGTTATGAAGGCTAGGGATAAAGTCACAAATCACGAAGATGTAGCTATGGACTTTCCACATTTCCCTTATTGCAATTGTTATCTCTTGATATCAAACAAAACATGTTAATGTCACACTATTTTGCCCGTGCCCGTTTGAAGAGTTATACTTAGACACTGTTCACATGGATTTTATTTTTGTGTAAATATAATCTTAGCTTAAGATCAAGAGATTGTTTAGTCTTGGCTGGAAAACTACATATAGAGAACCCCTTGCTTCCGATCAAGAACCGAAGCTATATATGGTGGTAGCTAAGCACGAAACATCCTACAACTTATCAAGTGTGCACATGATGATGTCTGAGGCATGCAAAATGAGACATTGTCGAAATTCAATAACAACTAGTTGTTTAGTTAATTAGCGTGATGGAACTTAGTTAATACTAAAGGGCAAATATACAAATTAGGAATGAATTTGAGCATGGAGAAAGTTTGTTTGATTCAAATGACTAAAAGGTTTTGTTTGTAATAGCCTAATAGGTGCTTTGTGAATAGTTGTGATATTATAGAAAAGACAAATTTCACTGATGAACAAGATATATAATATGACAAAAACGTGTCGCGGAAGAAATATATAAAACTAGAAATAAAAGATGCGTATAGGAATATAATTAAGGAGTAGTCCGGTAGACTTAAAACTTTAGTATATCGATCGCATTAGCAATAAAAACAATAATGTAAACGGCTTATAAACCCCATGCACATAAAAACACATACGTAAAAACTATTTAATTTGATTTCAGTCATCATTTCGTAAATTGACATGTAAAGACAAACGTCTCACCTTTCACGCTATACCCGTAATTTTCAAAACTAATAAGATATACAAACAATTAAGTCCTTTCTATAATTATTATGTAATAGTACAATGTAATTTATCTATATAAGAGTTATAGGATTATATTGACTCTGTCGTCGTCGTTTTGCTTGCCGTGGAAGTTAACTGTCTTTACTTAATTCTCAAGAGTCGCTTCTATCTTTTCTTAATTTTAAAAATTGCTATCATATCAGTTTGATTATTATTATTTTCAAAAAAAATAATAATTAGAATAGCTAGCTCTGTGAAGTGTCCTTAGTCTAGTGACATCACATCAAGGATCGAGTCTCGCTCCCTACATATTTGTAGGGATTTGGCTAATGGGCCGGCCAATTGTGGTCCAACGTTGAAAAAAAAAAGAGTAACTAGCTCTAGTAATATGCATTTGTGTACTGAGATTAATTATATTAAATTTAATATGATATATATTTAAAACATTTTTGTTATTCAAGTAGATAACAGAATTCGATCATGTTGACACTAATCCATAAGACTAACTAATCATTTACTTTACGCTATTTTTTCGAGCAATTTTTTGGAGCACACGCTTTTGGTTTATTTTGCATTACACAATACGAACGTATATGATTCCCATTATATAATGGATTTGACATACACGATATATTTCTATTCATAATCCGTAGGACATTTAGCTTTAAGTGTAAGAAAAATCCTACGCGTCAACTTGTTGATCATTTCAGCTGCTATATTGTATGAATTAATGAGTTAAATCTTAAAATTTAGAGGTTTCTCAAAGTCCAAACCATTATTTTAAAAACAACCAAAAAAAAAAAGAAAACCCGGAGTTTGGATGATGTGATATACAATTCTTATTTGTTTCGATGAAAAAATTCGTTAAGTGAATTGTTGTAGTTAGGGATATATATTACATTTTGAAACTCGAATTAAAAGTTTTAATCAAGTTATGAACCACCTATTCTAAACATGTGAGTGAAATGTGAAAAGAATTTAACACTAGTTGATGCAAAGTTGACTTTACGATATGTATATACATATAGGAATGGTCATATACGACATTGACCATGATCCATGACAATGTGATATTTTGAAGGCGAGTAAAAATGTTGACTGCAGAGATTACATTATCTTTGTCGGCTTCACCGAGGAAATTACAGCATAAAAGAACTCTCTTGTGGTTTGTTTTGTAAAGTACTCATCGCTGATAATATACTAATAAAATAAATTACGCATAGTAGAAGTATATGAATATGACTAATTCTCCCACATCATCATAATTATAGCTTCACTTAATCTAATAAAGAAAAATTACGCGTAGAAGTATATGACTAATTCTCCGACATCATCTTAGAGCTTCACTTAATCCAATTCTGTTAGTCACTATTCAAAGTTTAATTATCATATTTTTCTTTTTATTTTATAGATTTCACACATATGCATACTAGTATATTACTATAAAACCTAAATAATACACAATTAATGTAACATTACTATAAACCAGGAAATTCTTTATTTTATGATCGTTTAGTATGATAGTTTATCCAATAACATTTTATTGAGGCATGTCAAAGTCTTCGAAATGAAATTGTGTTTGACATACGAAAACATATTTGTTAATTTGTACTTGCACATTGATTATTGGAAGATTCAATAGGTGGATAAGGAAATCAAAATGTTAAAGAAATTACTGACATATTGGTGAATATAATACATGTTATTTCGAAAAATTGTTTTACTTATTATAGGAATGTATTTACTTATCTACTTTATTAAACCTTATTATAACTTGAAACAATTTCTTTTGTTTAATGTGGGTACAAACAACACACAAACGCGTTGTGTAGTAGTATAGTAATTAAACGCCGACCCTTGCCTAAAACTATTAAACATTTAGGTGATTATACCAAATCAATATTTAAAGTTTTCAACCTTATGGTTGAGTCAAGTGATACGTACAAAATTTACATTATCTATTGGAGCATATATTATTTTATTCTATTTGCTAAAGAACATATATTATTTTTATTCAACAAATATTATTAGAAATTAATGCTCATCTTTCATAATATCTAATGACTAAAAGAACAAGTTATATTATAAATCAAGATCTCTCATCATAAACTCCTCCAACGTTGCCGTCTCACGGTGGAAGTCCTGATAATAATTCATGTGGTCCAAACTATCATCGTAACTACTATTCCCGGAATATTCCCTCAGAAGATCAAGATCATGTTCATGATCTTGATCTTGGTCATTGTACCCGCTGCCATGAACTGCCGTCGAGTTAGTTTCCTCGCCTAGGTGATATGACATCGTTGATTCTGTACCTGACCAAGTCACGTGACGCTGCTCGTTACTCACGTGCTGGTTAAGCATATGATCATGGTCGTACTTACTCCGATCGTCGGAGACCGGAAAGATAGCTTCTTTAGAGATTGTAGTCGGAGATCCAAAATCTAGAGTAACGGGACCTTTTCTTCGGTTGGATTCACTTCCCGCAGAACGTCCCGTAAATTTCTGAACTAGGGCTCGGAAATTGCTAGGGTTTGCGTTTAGGAGAGTGGTTGGTATGGCTCTCCTCGAAGCCCTAGATCTCCTTCGGGAAACTTCATGTGACGCTGCACCACCCTCTCCAAGGGAATATCCCGATGATGAAGCCATGTTAATGGCGTTAAACTCTTGAATTTGGTGTTGTTGTTCACAGTGTTGTAACCACTGGTCTTCTCTAGCGTTGTTGTTCATCGAAATGTTTTTTTTTTTTATTGCCAATATGTTTCTTCTTTTCTGGTGTAGCGTGTAGTACATTGCATAGGAGGTAGGATTAAGGTTTGCTTTATATGCGGGGAGGAGATATGTGTACCTCTTAATGGTCGTTGACGTTGACTTGTACCTTTGAGGATTTTTAATATGTTATGATAACTTCAATCAAATAAATTGGGCAGTGTGTAAATCATTTTGAGTGTCGAAGAAGTATACGTATTTAAGTTTAAGTATTAGCATAGTGTTTTCTTAATAAACTAACTTATGGTGTAAAAAATAGCTCAAATTAAAACACTGAGTTATATAAAAAGGTTTAGTACTCTTGACTTTGAGTGTGGGTTTAGTGAAAGTTTTCCTAGTATAATTAAGTTTAATTGCTAAGTAAAAAAAATTGAAATCCAATTACTAAATTAATATATAGTTTTTTCATACTAAAGTAGTAATACCGGAAATGTATTTTTTGATAGTAGCTTGTTCATAAGAGGGTTAACTTGTATCATGTAAGGTTTAATTTCAATACTTTATTCATATATGTATAAAATTATAACCTAGTATTATATTTTTAGGTGGATAAAGAGAGCTAGTGATGATGAAAAACAAATTAACAGAAAGCGACAAATGGTGATAATATCACATCAAGCATGATCTTATATATAGGAAGACTTGACTTTGATGATTTCCTTGTCTCTTCGGTTCTCTTGATCGTTTACTGGTCAATGCATCTTTATTTATATTGTTTTCTAACCGAATAATTTTCTCATGATTATGAATTTTATGATACTAACGTTTGTATGATTGATTAATGTCATTTAGCATTTGACCAAGTCTATGGTAATACTGAAAATTTTATCATCATTATACACAAGAATATACAAGAAAAGTTTTCATTTTGAAACCTTCTTTATTACACATTTTATTTATATAAATATGTTTTAAAATAATCTATCTACATTCGAACATGTAGCTTCCATAAAATTTTATAATTATATATTTTTTCTTGGTACACCCTTTTGATTTATTTTTTAGACACGAGCGAATGAATTAATATTTCAGACTTAAGAAAATAAATACTCTCCGTTTAGAAAAAGTTGTTTCTAGCGATTTTTGATAAGGTGTGAATGCATGTGATCAGCAATGACGAGAAGCTGCTTACGTCGTTACAAGTTTAAGATTATATAAATATAAACTCAATTATCCAATAACGATCGATTTTATTGGTTGTGTTATATCATTCCGATCCAACGTGATACAAGTTGTAGTACTCTTCTCCGTCAATTATGCTAACTACGTACTTTAATTATAAGAAAAATCACGCATAAGTATGTATTATCATCAATTAGGCGGTGGGTTTATTCGACGAAGCTTCCTCCCGTTCTGCATATAATACAAACAATTTTGTTTTTTTTTTTTTTCGACAAAATACAAACATTATAAACTATATATATTATTAACAATTAAAACAAAAAAAAAAAATGAATTAATACAAAGGTTCCATTACATTAGATGCCTAAAACCATGAATCCTTTTGATTTCATGACTATTTATTTGGTACTTATAACGAAATCTATGTTGAGGTACTTCATCACGTACAGTTTTATAATTAAAATGTCAATGACAAAAACTACAAATACATCCAATGGAAAATGTCTTGGAAGAGTCAATAGTGAGTTGGTCAAAGGTATTGACCATAAACCACAATACTCAGTTCTCACCAATGTTCGAGCTTGGAACTATGAACAACAAATAGTATTAATATATGTTTAAGTTAGAGTGATCATAAGGAAAACAATTCTAATTTATATATAGGAAGCGACAAAATGGTTATAATAACATGATCCTATAGCTAGGAAAACTTGACTTTTATGATTTCCTGTCTTTTCAGTTTTCTTGATCGTTTACTAGTCAATGCATCTTATATTATATACTATAAACTGTTTTATTAAACGAAATATTAATGTTTTCATAATAATATATGTTATCAAATTAAATATGTGGAAACTGCAATTTTAGCTACACTCACATTGTACTAAAGTAGCTAATTTTTTCCCTTTATTAAAACAACATGACTACATGTACTAATTTTTTATCACCCGCTTTAATTTGGATATTGATTTGCTTATATATGTGCAACGATTTAAGTTTGAGAAGAATACTGTGTAAGAAATCTTGATTTTTCATGTTAAGTACAGTTTAATAAAGAATAATTTGAATTTTTGCTAGTTTGTAAGTTGACCTGAAAGCTCAATTCTCAGCACTCACCAATGTTCAAGGAAGTATATACATTATGATCAGGTCGTGTTGACATGTGACTTAATTATACATAATTTTATTTTTCCGAAGTTTATTAAACCTCCAAGATCCTTCATTTGAATTCAAACTTGTTAGTTGACAATAGAGAAAACCAAAACTCAATCTTGTTTAATTAAACTACTTTACTTATATTTTCTTCAATTATACATATATATCAACTTTGTTTTTGGACAGTACTGTATATGATCTCCTTAAATACGACGACTAAAGTTCTCTGGGTTAGTTAATAGGTAATGCCAACTCGAGTCAATCCACCCATGACCTAAGTTAATACCAATCATGTTAAGGAATTGTCACGTGAAGTACTCAATCATGTAAAACCAAATTCTAAATCTTATGAGTAATTAGCTATATTATTCTAATGTATACAATTATGACAAAAGAGCCAAATAGAGTCTTAAAAACGAACGAAAAGGATCCTAAAACATTACCTACAAAAATTCCAGCTTCTATTAACTTCATCTTTGCGCATCCTAGCCACCAGCCTAGATCAGGCTCTCGGTCTTCTCGGTCGAGGTCTAAAGAGAAGAGAATAAAAAATTCATTAAAATGATCAATTCGAGTATAAAACATGCAAGCATTAATATCAAACATTCATCAGCAAAGCTCGGATACACCAATCGTAAATCACATTTGCCATCATTAGTCTTATTATGTTATTATGTTAGTTAGCTAGTGTACTTGTAATTTCGTTACTTTTAACATCTTGTCATCACAAGCAAAAGATCCTATTACTAAAAAACCTTTAGTCCCACGCACCAAAGCTACCATCCCTAATTTGTATTTGAGTACTAAAGCTCCATCACTTGATGAAAATTAATTAAAAACTTTTGCATGTGTTTCATTTCACTTGGCATGCCTCATACATTGCATTGAGCTAGCAAGGTTTGTAAATTTTTCCTGTTTAGATATATATCTACCATCGGTTTTGGAAGCAGAGGGTTCTCCGCATGTAGTATTCAAGCCAAGACTACTAAACAATCTCCTAATCTTAAGCTAAGCTAAGATATATATAATCCACACAATAAATTTTTGTGAACAATGTTTAGAACCAAGAGAGATATCTCTGAAACTAGTAACATAAGAAAGAGAAACAACTATGATTATACCTGTATGCAAATGCTTCTTCGAATTCGTCGCTGTCATAAAACTCTATTCGTCTTCGAGACCTCTTCTTGAGTGGAAAAACTCTATTCGTCTTCGAGACCTCTTCTTCGAGACCACAAGGATGGATTGATAGATCACCAACATGATGTTTTGACGTTTTTCTTGAATCATTATTTGACCAATTTCTAATGATGCTAGATAAATCACCTTCATGCTCCAAAACATGTTCCACCTGCTAACACAAAAGGTAACTTACCAATGTAGTTTCCATAAAAACAAACTCGTCAAGTTTGTTTTGTTCTTGTGATTGTTTTAGGAAAAAGATTAACAAGAGGACCTTGCATGTGAAAGAGCAGAACTTGGAAGTGCCACGGACATGTTTAGTGCAACCTTCTTTAGTTCTTACACATCCTCGCAATGGCCTTAACGCTATCAGCTCCTCCTCCCCAACGAAACCTTTATTCTTCAAAATATAAAAAAAATAATATATTAAGTGATTAAGAAAAGTCCTTAAAGAAATTAAAACAAATAGATGGTGGAAATTGTATAATTTCTTTTTTTACTTGGATTTGGAAACAATCAAAGATATTAGAGATTTCTTCCATGTGAAGGCCGTTAACATCAAACAATCTCACCACCTGCATAATTAAGTAATTTAAGATGTAGATTTTATAAATATAAATATAAATATATAAATGATTAGGGTTTATAGATACAAAGAACATATATACTTCAACTTGAGGTTGAATGTGGTATGGATCTATGCCCTCGACGACGTCGCATGATTCGAAACGGAAGATGTTTTTACGGAAATTGCCATGCTTTTCGTAGTATCTATCTAAATCTTCCTCTGTTAATACTTAAACCATTTTGGCTTACTCATGACAAATCTATTAAGAAAAACAACGAATCCCCCAAAAAAGGAAAATAAAATTGTGATTGTTGTTGTTGCGTGATGATGAGTTTTGATCAGTCTTATAGAGATGGGAGAGAATAATAATGAGCGACGATCCTTATGTTTTTTCTTTTCTCGGGCTTCACAAAAATAGGGAAATACAGTAAAACATCTATAAATTAATACTTTATAAATTAATAAACATTATAAATTAGTAAATTTTGCTAGTCTCAAATCGGATCAGTGTAAAAAATGACCAAATTTGATAAGATAATAAGATAATATTTTTAAAAAATTTCTATGTAAAATATAGTCCTAATAATATCATAAATTAATAATCACTATATATATACACATACATATATATATATATAAATATATGTAGATATATTAATATATGCTTTTAGTTTTTGTAAAAATCAATTTCCTCCTAAAGTATACCTCAATAAATAATTTCATGTTAGTATATTTTTAAGCAATAATCTTTTCATATATACCATCACAAGTCATAAAAATAACAAAATTTTCTTTATGTTTTCAATTTTTAAATATGCATCATATTCATTTTTTATATAAGATGTTGAAATATAACAATCGAGGTTATTAATACACATTTGAATTTATGTACATAATTTGTATAAGTGAATTTATCTATAATATTTTTAGTTTATAGTCAAATTTCTTTTTTTCTAAATATAATATTCATTTTTAAACTACTGTATAACTTATAATATCTAAACTATTAGCCTTATTTTTGTAAAATTGTGTTAATTCATATTTTAAAAAAATTTGAAAATTGAAATACCGCTATAAATTAATAATTATTAATTTACACTATAAATAATAAATATGAATTTATAGATAAATTAATATCACTATAAATTAATAAAATATCTTGGTCCAACATTATTAATTTATAGAAGTTTTACTGTATATTGTTGGAGTTATTCGATAAAGTCAACATTCTTATGTAATTAGATATATCAAATATCAAATGTAATTGCATACACATCTTGAGAGATGATTTTACTTTCGACAGACACATTCTAAATTCAGAAGAGCAATTATACTTGGAGTTAACAAAACCAGAATACTACAACCCATAAGATGTAACCAAAGAAACCCCATAGTATTTTTTTTACGTCCAACAAACCTATTTTTCTGATATCAAATGACCAAACTAATGATAATGCGCTAACTAACCAGATGACAATTTCGTTTTTTTACTTAAAAGTGCAAGTTAAAAGACTTGTTTTTTCTTAATTTAAAGATTTGAAATCACTACAAGAAAACCTGCGTTTTGGGACTACCTGTTGTGACTCTTATTTCGGTCGCAAAAAAGAGCGACGAAATTATGACTATTTTACGACATAGGAACGACTACAGAACATCCAGATGGAAAAACGTCGGTAATTAACGACGAACATTTAAAGTCTCGAAATAGTCTCAGCTTTGCGTCTGTTTGGCAACTACTTTGCGACTAAACAAAAGTAGTCAGCAAAACGTCGTTGTTAGCGACTACGTTGTGACCGTTTGTATAGTCGGAAGAGTTAGTCGCAAACCAGTAACTAAAGAGGGACTGATTTGTAACTTCTTCTTGTAGTCACAAATTAGTGGGAAAGGAGTAGGAAAATGTTGGTACAAACGTTGAAAATGTGAAAGTTCAGTATAGCTAACTATTGCGACGCTGTTAGTTTTATTCGCAAAGAAGTCGGAAAAAGTTGTTTGAAATCGTTGAAAACGTTCGGTTATAACTAATTTTTGCGACTCTTTTGAGAAGAGTCATAAAAGCGTCGCAAAAAATACCCTATATAAACAAACGCTTCTTCACTTCTTCGGTATCCAAACTTGAGTAAGAAAATAAGAGAGAGAGAGAGAAGGAAGAAAAGAAGAGAGAAAAGGGGGAAAAAAAGAAAAGTGAGGAGAGAAAAAAAAGGAGGAGGGAAAAAGATAGAGATGCGATGTGGAATTATCCTTCACGAGAATGGATGTACAACCGGATCGATCCTGGAACTAATCATCTTTCGACGGGATATTTGGCGGGTGTGGAACAGTTCATCGAGTTTGCGAGTAGCAATGCACAAAATAGAAGAGGTAGGTGTTATTGTCCTTGTGTAGTATGTGAGAATTCGAAATTGTTGAAACCTAGCACAATATCGAGTCATTTGCTAAGTAGAGGATTTATGGCGAATTATTATGTCTGGTATGAACATGGTGAAGATTATGATGTTGTTGGGGAGGGAAATAGTGGTCTTTACGCTGATAATTCAAATAATACTAGTCATGAACCAATGGGATTTGATCATGGAGAGGAAAATAGTAGTGAACCAGTAGGTTTTGATGGGCATAATGTATATGCTGAGATGGTTAATGATGCATTTCATGGTTCGGTACCGCATAATGATCATCATGAACATGATCAAATTGGAAATGATCATGTTTATGAAGAACCCACCCAAGAAGCGAAACGATTCTATGATATGTTAGCTGCTGCCAATACTCCACTTTATGACGGATGTCGGGAAGGTCAATCGCAATTATCGTTAGCAGCTCGGTTCATGAACAATAAGGTCGATTATAATTTGTCTGAAGCTTGCATGGATTCATGGGCAGAAATGTTTACGGAGTTTTTACCAGAGGGTAATCAGGCAACTGGTTCATATTACGAGACTGAGACATTGATGCGAAAGCTAGGATTGCCATATCATACTATAGATGTATGTATAGATAATTGTATGCTCTTCTGGAAAGAAGATGATAAGTTGGAGCATTGCAAGTTTTGCGGGAAACCAAGGTATAAGGTTAGTGAAGGCAGAACAAGAATACCATATAGTAAGATGTGGTATTTACCCATTGGAGATAGACTGAAGAGAATGTACCAATCCGAGAAGACTGCAGCTTCTATGAGGTGGCATGCTGAGCATGATTCGGAAGAAGGAGTAATGTGTCATCCATCAAATGCGGCTGAGTGGAAGAATTTTCAGCAATTGCATCCCTCATTTGCAAGCGAACCGCGAAACGTTTATCTTGGACTATGTACGGACGGTTTCAATCCTTTTGGAATGTCCAAAAATCATTCGTTGTGGCCAGTGATCTTGACTCCATACAACTTGCCTCCAGATATGTGCATGAGGAGTGAGTATTTATTTCTGACTATTCTGAATTCAGGACCAAATCATCCACGAGCTAGTCTTGATGTTTTCCTCCAACCACTGATCGAGGAGTTAAAAGACTTATGGGATAACGGAGTTGAGGCATACGATGTGTCATTAGATCAAAACTTCAACCTTAAAGCGGCCCTTCTATGGACAATTAGCGATTTTCCTGCATATGGCATGTTGGCCGGATGGACTACACATGGAAGATTATCTTGTCCAATTTGTATGGAGGATACAAATGCATTTCAGTTGCCAGCAGGGAGGAAGACAAGTTGGTTTGATTGCCACAGAAGACATCTTCCGACAAATCATCCGTTACGAAAGGATAAAACACACTTTCTGAAGGGTAAACACGCATTGAACGATTACCCACCGCAATCTTTGACTGGTGAACAAATCTTATATGAGCGTATAAGGACTGCCGCTCCAGCGAAGACATCTGTATGCGGAGGAAATGGGCATGAAGAGAAAGTGGATGGCTATGGAGATTGGCATCATTGGCACAAAGAAAGCATACTTTGGGAGTTATCGTACTAGACCGATCTAGGGCTACGACACAATCTTGATATAATGCATATAGAGAAGAATATTCTTGATAACATTATGTTCACGACAATGAATGTGAAAGACAGATCAAAAGACAATGTGAAGTCAAGAATAGATGTTGCAAGATTTTGTTCTCGTAAAGAATTGCATGTTGATGATCGAGGGAGAGCTCCATTTCCTATTTGGAGATTGAGTGCAAAAGCAAAACAAAGCCTACTAGAATGGGTCAAGCAAGATGTGAAATTTCCAGATGGTTATGTAGCTGATTTAGTTAGCTGTGCAGACGTCAAAGCTGGCAAGTTTTCAGGGATGAAAAGTCATGATTGTCATGTCTTTATGGAAAGATTGCTCCCATTTATATTTGCAGAACTTCTCCCGCAAAACGTGCATCTTGCATTAGCAGGTAATTTTATAATTCATTCATTTGTTATTTAAATTAATTGTTATATACATATGTTAAATCTATCATCATTAATGATCACATTTTAATATTGTAGGGATTGGTGCATTTTTCCGGGACTTAAGTAGTCGTACATTGAAGCAAAGTCGAGTCCAACTTCTGAAAGAGAATATTGTCATGATTTTGTGCAATTTGGAGAAAATATTCCCGCCCTTTTTCTTTGATGTCATGGAGCACTTACCAGTACACCTACCATATGAAGCAGAGCTTGGCGGTCCAGTTCAATATAGGTGGATGTATCCTTTTGAGAGGTTTTTTAAACGTTTGAAAGGGAAGGCAAAGAACAAAAGATATCCAGCTGGATTAATCGTTCAATCATACATCAATGATGAGATTTCTTACTTCTCTGAACATTACTTTGCTTCGCACATTTCTACAGCTAGTAGAAGAAGGTATATATTTCATACGATTACTATATTTAATTTGTTTACAGGTTCTCGATATCATAATTGATGTCATAAATTTGCTTGTAGGTTACTTCGGTATGATCCAGGTGAAGTTCCTATATATCCTATACCGGTACCGGAAATATTCACTCAAGTTGGGCGCCCAAGTGGGAAAAGCAAAGAATTTTGGTTAACTGAAAAAGATTATAAATGTGCACATGCATATGTGTTGCGTAATTGTGAGTACTTTCGCCCGTTTGAAAGGTATTGAATAATATAACTTTATTATGCTTTTTCTTTAAATTTAGTTAACTTATCAATCAATTTTTTCACTTTGAATACAGTGTGTTAGACGCTCAAATTCGGTATGAATGTCCAGAACTCTCGGATGAAGATGTCACGACGAAAAAAGATGAAGATTTTCATATATGGGTTCGTCAATATGTAAGTATATAAAAAAATATTATATATAATAGCTTCAATCCTACTAATGAATTAAAAGTCTTTAAAAATTTTGATATTTACAATTTTGATCATATATAGGTGGAAGCAATGAAAGGTCAACAAAGTTTTCCTCCATGGGTTTATGAAATAGTGGAAGGTCCTGAAAACAAAGTGAAGTCGTGGCCCATGTATTTTACAAGAGGGTATATGTTTCACACACGATCTCACGGGAGCTTGAAAAAGACAATGAATTATGGAGTATGTGTCCGAGGACAAAATTATTCCGAAGCGTCTGATGAGGATGATTTTTTTGGGACCGTGGAAAATATAATCGAGCTCGAGTATCCAGGATTTATTAACCTAAAGATCACACTGTTCTACTGTGAATGGTTTGATCCAACGGTTGATAAAGGAACTCGTATGAGAGATTGTGGCATTGTAGACGTCCTACAATCAAGGAGATATCGAAGTTATGAACCATTCATTTTAGGTAATTTTGATGTTCCGTGTGTTTTACTATATATAAATATTGTTGAAAAATTCCTAATTCTAAATTTTATTAATGTAGGGTCTCAAGCTGATCAAGTCTGTTACCTTTCATACCCATTCACTAAAAGACCTCGTAAATCATGGAGTACAGTTTGCAAAGTCAATCCAAGAAATGTTGTTTAAGGAAACTATAAAGAAAAGGAACTTGTGATTTTGCAACAGTCTGTTGATGATGCACCTCCAACCATTATTGAAGAAATCATCGTTGAGAGTTTAGTAGACGGAAATCATCAAGATGAGCCTATTGATTTTGAAATTGAAGATGCTGAAGGCGAGGACGAGTTTCAATGTAACTTATCAACATCTGATGATGAAGATGAAGAATTTGAATATGATGAAGATGAAGATGAGTAATTTATGGATTTGAGTTGCTGACATATCATTTGTAAAATATTATTATAAAACAATTTAAAATATTTTGTTTAATAAATTTGTGATTTATAAGAGATATTAATGCTAGTTGAAGCTTATTTTAATTTATGTGTAAGTAATTAACGAATGATTAAGTTGGCAATTTGGTTGGATATGTACATATAATGCATGTACTTTTTTCCATTATAATCAGTCACAAAACAGTTACAATAGTGTCCTAACAACGACAGAAAGCAAACAAGGCAGACGATAGTCGTCGCAATTATATTACACATAGGTCACATATTGTGACCGTGTTGGGACGGCCGTGCTTTGTCACAAAATAAAACTTGCATTATAAACGATGTATATCGATATAGTTGTTATGTATCACTCATAAACACTCAAATATATTGCATACAGTACATACATAATTATAACTTGCCAAAATCATGCTAATATAACTTGTTAAAAGAATTAATCAAAATGTTGATAAAATATTGTCGGAAATATGTCCGCAATATGTCCCAAATAAGGCAGACGATAGATAGACGTCGCAAAGAAATTACAAATAGGTCACAATTTGTAACCGTTTTGGGACGTCCGTGCTTAGTCACAAACTAATACTTGCATTATACACGATTTATATACATACAATTATTATGTATCACTCATAAACACTCAAATATATTGCATGCAACACATATATAAGTACAACTTGCCAAAATAATGCTAATATAACTTGTTAAACGAGTTTTTCTAAATTTTGATAAATAACGTCCGAAATATGTCTGGAAAACGTCGCAAACAAGGCATACGACAGACGTCGCATATACATTACAAATGCGTCACAATATATGACCGTTTTGGGACGCGCTCGTCTTAGTCACAAAACTAAATTTGAATTATACACGATTTAGATCAATACTTTTGTTATGTATCACTCATAAACACTCAAATAAGTAGCCTATCAAATATATATTAGTATAACTTGCCAAAATCATGCTTATATAACTTTTTAAAAAGATTTTCCTAAACTCCTCATCATTACCCTAAACATACATGTAACACACTCATTAGATTTGGGATGATTGAAAGTGTGGTTGGAAAAACATTTAGTTTGCAACTCTGACTTAGTAAACTGAGCTAATTTCAACAAAATCAAAGTATAAACGTATTACTAACCATTTAAACAAATCTCAATACTCAAATTTTGAATTAGCTAAAGTCGAGAGTGGCTAAGTAGTCACAAAGTCGTAGGTACACTTTTTGCGACTACTTTGTTACATGTGTGCGACTAATTTGCTACATATGTTGTGACGTATTTGAGACTGGTTCTAAATTTCGAGTTAATTAAACGAAATTTTTGATAAGTGTTTAACCGCTTAATATTCCCCCCAAATGTTAAAACCCTAAAATTGTGTGACTTCTTTGCGACCGGTTTCCGACTCATATCGTTAATAACAAAGCAAAAAATACGCGAAAGTTTCTCATTTTTCATTTCTCGATCTAACCCTAACATCTCTTCCTCTCAACTCTCTCCTCTCAGATTTCTCAAATTTGATATTCTGTGGATCGATTAGCAACCAATTCAGTCCACTAGCCCTAAATCTTTGGTTCTCTCTAACCCAAAATCTCAATCGATTTCTCTTTTCTTTCCTTCTTTCTCAATCGATTTCTCTTTTCTCAATCGATAGTCAAATCTCTTGATTTAATGCCTCCTAAGAGCAAATCGTCTAGAGGTCGCGGTGGAAGATCGAGCGCCGGTGGAAGATCGAGCGCCGGTGGAAGATTGAACGCCGGTGGAAGATCCAACGCCGGTGTCAGAACTTTCCATGGTCAAGCACCTCCAACCGGAACTCGAAGTTGTGTCGGAGCCTCTTCTCACTCATCGGCGGCTAATTCTAACAGCCAAACATCTCGTCGTCTTCCTTCACAGTATCCACCGAGGAGACAACCAGCACGAGTCGCTCCTCCAAATACGCCTCAGGTTCAAACACCGCCTCAGCAGGTGGTTCAACAACAACCTCCTCCTGTTCAACTGCCTCAGCTTATTGAACAGCCTCAGCCTGTTCAACAACCTCCTCCCTACATACCCCCAGAACATAACAACGAAGAAGAAGAAGAAGAAGAAGAAGAAGAAGAAGAAGAAGAAGAAGAAGGAGAAGAAGAAGAAGATGATGAAGTAGAAAACCCACACCAACAAAATCCTAATCCAAATGAAGACTACGAAGCAATGTTAGATCGTTTGCTTGCACTTCCAGGCCGACAACATCTTCCACTTCTATCTCAGAAGCCTATCGAAGGCATTGAGACTCTCTGGTACTAACTCTCTCCTTCTTCATATAACTGTATGTTAGTTATAATCTCTTTTGGTTAGATCGTTTCATTATTACTCATTGTTTCTTAGTTAAGTAACCGATTGTTGCTATGTGTTTTTGGTAATGTTAATTAGTGGCTACTTTACATTCACTAATCCTTAGTAACTGTGGTAGGTTTCACCGACACGGTGGGAAGCTGTCTCGAGCAATTGCTGGAATCTTTAGGAGGAAGTTTGATGGGCCTTACTATAGTTGGAAGGTTACTCCACAGAGCATTCAAGAGAGATATTACAGAACTTTTACCGTAAGTAAATGATTGTTTGCTTTCATTGTGGAGATTGTTAAGCATATGACAGTCACATTGCTAACTTGTCTGAAATGTTTTGTCTGTATGAAGCGGAAATTTAATTGGGATTCTGGGATTAATGAGCTTGTTAGGGAAGGATTGGAGAAGATTGCCAAGAAACGAATGAAAGGTAT